TGCCTTTAATGTATAAGAGCTAGAGGATATACTAGCTTATTGATGCTATTCGATGCATTCCGGTTATACTTGATATAATTGAAATATTGGCAGTCCCTTAATTGAAAATGCCAAAAGTCAATTTAAGAAAATCCAAGTACATGTAGGTTGATTGATCAAACTTAAGTTTGTCATGAATAAATGCTTGTTTTGTGCAAGACGTTATAAAAAAGCAGATTGTTACATAGTATTATTACATTCTTTTAATTTTATAAAGTATATACATTCTTTTAATTAAAGTATTATTAAAAAAGGTATAAAAACGATCTGTACATCAGGCCAGCATATGCATTCATGCAAACCCAGACCAGACTGTTAAGATTTGATATTTTGGTGCTGAAATCTTTGTAACTTTTAATGGACTCTTCCAAATTCAAAGAAGGCAAATCAAGCAAGGAAAAAGATTGAAACAGATTTTTTAACAGCCTCTATGTAACAGATGTTTGTTCCTAATAGGAGGAACATAAATAATGTATATCAAACTAATAGATACATTACAGTAAGCTGTTAACAAGTGTTTTTCCTATAATAATGTTATAGATTCTTTAAACATGATCTGCTCTCCATGTTAATAATTGAGGTTATTTTGGCTGTATCTCCAAATGTTTCTAATGCTATTGATTAAAAGGATCATGCAGTGAATAATTACCAGCATAGTTTTGTTAAGTCTCTGTAGACTGTTTATAGTTTAAGATGAATTTATAAAGGAAACCAAATTATACTTCTGATTCTCATTATTATAATATTATTAAATGTTTGTAATTTTTTACTAAAATCTGAACTACATGTATTTATGAAGGAAGGGTTACAAGAATAAACATTGTTCCTCCTTATTTCAAGTTTGTATTATAATTGATATCTTTTACTTATTGTGTCGCCTCTACGGAGTAGTGGCGACATATAGGGATCACTTCTCCGTCATCTGTCTGTCTGTCCGTCCGTCCGTCACAAAACTTGTCCGGACTACTCCTCATAAACTACTGGTGCAATTTCATCCAAACTTTACAGAAATTATCAGTACCAAGTCTAGTTGTGCATATTGTCAGCATTTGCCTGTTCAATGATTTTTGTAAGAGTTATGGCCCTTTAATAATTTTTATTTTTAAAGTTTGTGCGGACTACTTCTCTTATACCACTAATGCAATTTCATTGAAACTTTACAGGATTGATCTGTAGCTCAAGTCCTTGCACATATTGCACAGGTTTTCCGGTTGAATGATTTTTGGCCAAGTTATGGCCCTTTGATAAAAAGGTGTTTTTTTCTGTGTTAGTTGCCAGATACACAAAATCTTGTCCGAACTACTCCTCATAAACTACTGGTGCAATTTCATCCAAACTTTACAGGAATGATCAGTACCAAGTCTAGTTGTGCATATTGGCAGCATTTTCCGGTTCAATGATTTTTGTAAGAGTTATGGCCCTTTAATATTTTTTATTTTTAAAGTTTGTCTGGACTACTCTTATACCACTAATGCAATTTCAATGAAACTTTACAGGATTGATCTGTAGCTCAAGTCCTTGCGCATATTGCACGGGTTTTCCGGTTGAATGATTTTTGGCCGAGTTATGGCCCTTTGATAAAAAGGTGGGTTTTTTTCTGTGTGTTGCCAGATACACAAAAGCTTGTTCGGACTACTTATCATAAAGTACTGGTGCAATTTTATCCAAACTTTACAGGAATGATCAGTACCAAGTCTAGTTGTGCACTGTCCGTCTGTCTGTCTGTCGGTCTGTCACAAAACTTGTTCCAACATGAAATTGGCCATCATGAGACGACACATGTGATCACTGATCGCTCTTGTATATATAATTATAAGTTTTTATATCAGTTGGAAAACCCAACAAATGGCAACAATTGTACATATGGGTGTGTATATATGCAGGGACGACTAGTATAACAGGACAAACAACTAGGGATTAGCACTGTTTTATCTCCTTGGATACAAATGTAGTTGGCATACTTGTCGCCATTTTGTTTTGTTGATAGGTCTTAAGGGGTTTCTTTTTGTAAAAAAATAAGAGATTTATAATTATGTTAACTGATGTAAGTCCTTTCATATTTAAGTTTTGTTCACAATTTTCATGATATGAAAATTTTCCAATGTTTTTTTTATAAAACTGACTTTTAAATGATAATCTATCAATTTGACTCTCAATTGGACACCAGCATCAATGCTGTATGCTTATAGTCATTAGTTGTTTGTCCCCTCATACATGTACTATATACCAATTATAATGGATTGACAAATTCTCTTTAAAAAAAATTATGGATGGCAAAATAACTCTGTTTATTACATTCATTGAGTTATTTAGAGTTTGGTGTACATTTAATAGCTGTAATATAATATTGTGTACAAGTTTCAAACATGACTGTTATTGAACTGTTCACTATTCTTGGACAGCAAATAGAAGACTATTCTACAGTAAACTTTAATACTGAAAAGAAGAAATCAATTTACATTTCTTTAGGTCATATATTTATTCATAGGTATAGTTATTCATAATTGCAATTCAAACAACATTGTGTGTATATGTTTCACAAATTGCTTTGTGTATTTTTTAAGGAACTCAAGTTCATGAAAAAAATGTCGCCCCTAGAATTTTTATCATGGTGATGATCTGTAATCTACACTTCCTCAGTGAATGCATTCAGCAAAGATTTTGTGATAAATGTATTGGTTAGGATGAGGAGAGATAGCTACTGTAGATAGACTTGGAACGATAAATAATATATGACACTGTCTCACTTAGCCATATCACAATTGGAGATGTAATTCCTGTGAAAATACATTGCACTATGTGCAGCTTTTATTTTGAGAATTGTAATGATGAACACGCATTCCTTAATGGAAGTTCATATTGTGAGAATTTAAATTTTTTACCCATATGCTTTTTGAAAATTTTTGCCCAATATTGTGAAAACTAGGAAATGAAATATTTGGCAAATTGTATGAATGAATGCATGCAATGCTTGAAAGAGAAATGCAAATGAATTCTTGTTGTGCATGTATAATTAGATTCCTGGAATTGAGTGGGTAAAATAATAAAATATTTCAGTAAAATTAAATTTTAGTTTACTTAATTACATACATGTACATCCAAGTTGATAAAAAAATCTAGTGGTTGACTTAATTACATGTAGTATTAATCTGTATGTAATAAATGTAATTGCATACATAGGGGGCCTGTACATTTATACTGACCATTAATATTCTGGATGCTAGAAAAACGATCATGATGTACATGTAGCTTGCTCTCTTGAGCTATAAAGAATGTTCAATTAGTTTTGTTTTGAAAAAAATTGTTATTAAGAACTTTTTACATGTAATGATGTAGTTAAGTAATTTTTTTTTCAGTAAGTTGAGTTAAAAAGTATTTTCAATTAGTTTATATGTATTATGTAGTTGTAAAGTATTTTCAATTTCAATTCAGAATATTCAATTAGTTGAGTTATAAAGTATTTTCAGTAACTTAGTACTAACTATACTGTTTGTCATGTACATAAGGTAGTTAATGTTTTCTGAAAGTAACAATAAACCAACTGAAATGTTTTTCATGCTTGTAGTTGGCTCAGAGTCCCGGAAACTTAAATGTAACAAAAAAATATGCGGTTTTAACTTTATATTTGATTTTATAGCAAATTACAAGCTACATGTACAAATAAAGGTAATAAGAAAATGATCTCAAAGGTTTGAAATGAAATCCAAGTTTCTGCTTGTAGTGTTATATTAATTGAAGACTTGGCTGTGTTCTGTTTTATGTATAACCTATAGAGTAATAGAGTAACAATAAACCTTGTAAATTAACTGGATCTGGTCATACTGCCAATTCCAGAACAAGATTTTATGTTTTCCCTATCTAATGTTTTTGAGAGGCTTTCAACTTGGTGGCCTTAAAAAACTGTAATAGACTTGTAAGTCTTATAACCCTTTAATACATTACTATTCTAATTATTTGTGAATTTGGAAGTTGTAAAAATAGTGTAACCAAGGGGGTGAATTACATTTTAAAGTGTAACCAGAACTATACAACATGTTTAGACTGGTATGCCTCTACGTGTATATTGATGGTATAGAAAAATCATTATTTCCTATTCAGTACCAGGGGTTGAATTATGAAATATTAATATACAATGTATAACAGTTTTATGCCAAGTTAGATCATTCTACATGTATATATATATTTTAAAATAACTATTGTTGATTTCTGGAAGTGGTAGTTCAGTTTTGAAAGTGAAGAATATTTCAGTTACTAAATTCAACCACTTTATTGTGAACTTACTATTTTTTACATATAATAAGAATATATTTACATCTATTTTATGAGCATGTTTATGTAGCAAAATTTGCCTGAAATTCCCCTACAAGGAAAAGCACTATGCTCTCACCTAAAAACTGTAATATGAGAGAAAGGGAGCCCTTTAATAATTCTCACATCTTTTAACTATAACTACTAAATCAAGTGAATCTTGGCAATGTATTTTAGAATTGATTTTTTTTTGTATTTGCCATAGTATTGAATGAATCATTGTTGTTTCCTACTTAAATGTCAATTTAAATGAGTTTTCCTGATTACTCACTATAACAGTTAGTTATTTTAAGTAAACACAACAGGTTTACAAAGACTTTGGAGTTGTAGTTTTTTAATCCTGTACAATTTTACACTCTGTTGTTCCGAAATAATCATTTTATTATGTAAATTTTAAAATTCTCTGCAAGGAGCATATTTATATATTATTTTTGGCATATTTTTCGTAAAGTGCTCCCAACTGATTTATGTAAGAGTTTAAAAAAAATCCATTTATGCCTTTTGGCATCTAATTTCCTTTATTTTCTAAGTCCATGAAATTTCAGTAGATAAAGTCACAAGGCTAGTTTATGTTTACTTATTCAATGTCAATTTGTTTCTTCTGAGCATTTTACACAAATGTCTGTATTAAAGTTTAATGTATTTATTTTCAGGACATGGTGGACTATAACAGGACAGTATGGAAATATTCTACCCATAGACTGGTCACAATCTTATGCAAGAAAACTACAAGAAAAAGCTTTAAATCTTGGTGAAAGAAAGGTATGGTTAAGTTCAATTCAAGGAAAATCACTAACTAAATCTAGATGAAGTACTATTCAAGAAAAAACAACAGACACTTAATCTAGGGAATGATAACTAAGGTTCAGTTGAATTTAAGAAAAAGCTCTAAATTTTTTGGGGAAAGAGTATGGTTAAGCACAATACAAATCAAGCATAATTTTAGGGGAAAAGGGTATTGTTCAGCTTAATACAAAAAAAAAACAACAAAAAAAACCACCAGCATTATATTGGTTGGGGACTGGGTGTAGTTTTGGTTAGGTCCAACTCCTAAAAAGTGCTGAAGCTGGGGGAAAGAACAAAATGGTTAAGTTCAATTCAACATTCCAAGGAAGCTCCATTCATTTCTAAAATAGGACAAAAGTACAAGGTAGTGTCTGTGACTTGATGCATTAGATACATTCATTGGCATTGTTACAGTGTGGATACTGAACCATTGTGGTATTGTAAAGTTACTAATTAAAATTCATACAAATACAAGAAAATATAAATTGGAAAAAAAATCAGACACAAGTGGAAAAAAAAATGGAATGCACATGGTCAAATTGTGAAGAGCAATATGCCTGACATGCCTGCAACGTTAAACAAAATAATTGTAATATTAATCTAAATGAAGAATAAGAGGAACTTATCTTGAAACTGTCAAGTGATTTCTTTAATTTGATATTGAAATAAACTGTGTTTAGGTATAGGAATACTTTGTTGATTTTATTTTCATGTAATTTAGACACCAGAACCTGTGAACCTTGACCTATCTGATGATGAGGAGTTAGCAAATGCGATGGACTATCACTCAATGATCATCAATAGTCATCACCATACAGATGAAGATCATGTTGTAACAGCTGATGAAGTCATTAGTGAGTTAGAGATGATGATGGAGGTATGTTGTAGAGAAATTCCTAATGTTTTTCAAGGGAAGTCTCAAATAATTGATATGTTAATATGCTTGTGTCATAATTAATTGATTTGGTTATGTTTGCCCCTCGACTAATACATACATGTATTATTGGTAAATATTTCTGCCTCTCTACTTATGGATATGGTTGATATGACTGCCTCTTAATCAAGGTATATGGTTTATATGTTTGCCTCTTAATCAAGGCATATGATTAATACATGTATGTCTGCCTTTTAATATAGGTATATGGTTTATATGCCTGCCTTTTAACTAATGAATATTAGAAATGTGTGTGCCTCTTTATCAAGGTATATGGTTTATATGTCTGCCTCTTAATCAAGATATATGGTTTATGTCTGCCTCTTTAATCAAGGTATATGGTTTATATGTCTGCCTCTGAATCAAGATATATGGTTTATGTCTGCCTTTTAATCAAGGTATATGGTTTATGTCTGCCTTTTAATCAAGGTATATGATTGATATGTCTGCCTTTTAATCAAGGTATGTGGTTTATATGTCTGCCTCTTAATCAAGGTATATGGTTTATGTGTCTGCATCTTAATCAAGGTCTGCCTTTTAATCAAGGTATATGGTGTATATGTCAGCATCTGAAATCAAGGTATATGGTTTATGTCTGCCTCTTTATCAAGGTATATGCTTGAGATGTCTGCTGTCACTTAACCAAGATATCTTTAGTTTTTTATGGTTTTATAACTCATTTAAGCTCTTATATGTCTATGCAAATGATTTTTCAACACTCCAGGGTTATTTCTAGAATTGATAGAGATAATAAAGAAATCAAAACAGGAAAAGCTTTTACATTTGAGGGAGAAAGATATTGATCTACACTGATTATAGAGGACTAATGACTTATACACTTTCATATTGTTTATTTTAACATTATTCTCAAATTCCTTAATGTGTATGCTAGTACTTTATACAGCTTAGTAGAGTTTTCCAAATAGCAGTTTATGGCAAAATCTATTGATCTAGATACCTTAAAATTTAGACTTTTATGAGATTGTAGAATTACATTGTTGAATAAATGGAACATATTTTCTTCTCTCTTTCTCTCTTAAGTGAGTTTTTAACATTATATTATTGTACTTTGTATTAATCCTTAAAATGCTAAATATCTTAAATGGACTTGTTCATCTTTTAAAGGGAAAATTTCAAAATATTTACTGACTGAATAACAATTAGTGCAAACTTTGATCAGATGGCACAGATATGCTAGTTGATCTTGGTCTGTTTTAGTGGCATTGGTAGAATCTGTTTCCACCAGCAGGCTCAGTGTTAAAATAAAAACAATGAAGGAACATAACTAGACAGTGTATTCCATGGTTTTTAAAAAAAAATAAAAACAGTACATACGTAATATTAAATTGTAGTATCTTTCTGAGGCTTTGTATTTTGCTACAAGCAGCGGGATATCAATTTCCCAACGTTGTGAGTAGAAAAATACATAGTATCAGAAAGCAACTACAACATAATTTTCCTTTTATTATATACGTTTTTGTTCTATTCAGAAAATAAATTCATGACTGACGGATGAATATGTAATTCTTGCAAACCGGCCATGCATTCCTGTTTCCAAATGCAACGTTATACAAAACTAAGACTGGAACCAATGTCGAAAATAGTCTGGCACTTCCATATATGGTACCGTATTTGTCACTTACATAATATGGAAATTTCTATCCGTTTAAGCGTATTTGCATTTCAAGATTTGCGTGTATTTTAGGGAGAAAATTTATAGGTATATAATATAATTAAATATGTTACTTTGTGTTTCAGGATAGTGGTACAGATCGCAGTGAGTCAGAACCAGAATTCCCAGAAATGCCAACATCTCCCTACACTAAATTAAAGGAGACTTTATCACAACTACCAAAGTATTCAGTTGAAGGTAGAAATAAATATTACATGAACTCTTCTTTGTATATTTTACCAGTAATATTTCTTCAATGGACACTAGTAGTGTAACTGGGATATCATCTCAAGACTTTAATTATGTAATAAAAAAAAATCTTAATTTAATGCAAAGTAAAGCAATTTTAAACAATTGATAGTAGATTTTTTATTCTGTGAATTTAAAACTTATTTCATTAGTTGAAGGCATTCTGTAAGAATTCTAGGGAATTAGACAACTAGTAGACTGCATGGATATGCCAGCTGTATTTGCTTGATACTGATTACATGGACAAGTTGTTTTAGTCAGCCTTCAAATGTAAATATGTTGATGGAACTATTCACATCTTGTATGTGTATGTATATGTATTTATATTTCAGAACTTAAAGGAATGTCCAACACGGCCATTAACGAGTTACTTAGTGATTACGAACTCACAATAAAAGAGTTATCGGAAACCCTAGTCCAGGAATTGGCGTTACGTGATGAGTTAGAATACGATAAGGAGCTCAAGAATCAGTTCATTTCACTACTGCTGAATATACAGAAGAAACGGCGAGAGGCAAAAGTGGACAAAAAGCGACGAAAAAGTAAAACTCTATCACCGAACAGTAACCCTTCTGTTGTTAGTGGTAACAACAATAACAGTCCTACAGCAGAATCTGGACCAAGTGTGGTAAGAAGCTGGTTAAGCTAACCGTCTCATTTTCTGTTATAATTTATTTCCCAGTTTCACTTTAGGTGTTAAAGTTGTGTAGAAAAGTGATTCAACTTTAAAAATGTGCTCAAAGGCATTTGAGTATTCAAATTTGTAGATTTGGCTGTTACTGTGTCTAAAGCTACTGTTAATTATGACTTGTCTGTTTATTCCTTCAAGGATTTGATCAAATATTCTTTCTGAATAATATTTTTTTAGCTCCGCTTATACTAAGATTTTCCAATTTTTCTTTGTACAATTTCATTTCTCTTATAATGAAAGCACTCTGTTTTTAGATATCTATTAATTCACTTTAAAGCTTTAATTGAAAGAGACAATGTCAGCAGTTAATGATGAAATACGTGCTGTGTTTATAGTGATGCTGCTGAGAAATCTAATGGAATAAATTACTTAAAATGGTCATCGTTGTTTCATATAATAACATTGAAGATATTGCATAGTTCATATAACTTGTTGCTATTTTAAAACTTTTGTAGCTTTAAACAAAAGAACTTGAAAAAATTTAATTATTGTTTGGAAAAGTACATTTTATGTTGATTTCTTTTTCAGTTCCTTAGTACAGTAATACCCTACCATCCACAGCAGGGTGCAGCCAATTCAGAACAGCTTCAAATATACATAAAGAGTAAGTTGTTGGAAAAAGTAATTGCAAATGAAATGAAAAAAGTCTGTTTCTTTACTGTACATATGAATTTGACAAAATATTTTTATTCATTAATGTACAAAAGAGTAATTAGAGCAACTAATCATTGATTATCTATAGATCCTGCAATTAGCTGAACATTTTAAAATTATTATCCTCAGATCATCAAGATTAGGGTTGTAAAGAAATATTCTTAGCTCTAACTCAGATCTCTGGTCAGAAACCAGCTTACATTGTACACTTACATGTACCAGTAAAACTCCAGAGATTCCAGATAAGGTTATATAACCGTGAGACAATGTTTAAGTAAGGGAACTTTGAATTTTATCACTTTGTCATACAAACTCATATACTGATGTTTTTATGTAAGTAATTATATTAAAGTCTTATAAAAGCAAGATTGTGTGGAGGCGTGGCTGACTGGTTAACATGTCTGAATAGTTATCTAAGGATTGCTGACCACATGGGTTTAAACCCTGTCAGAGGCAAGCCATTGTTTTCTTGAGCTGAAACTTTACATTCATTGCTTAGTACTGGTTTGTTTGTGTTTCAACAAGCTTCAAGCTGCCAACACAAACTAAAATAAATTTGTATAAACAAGAAGTAAGAGTAGAACTTAATACAATTAATACAAACTGTAGATATTGCCAATACACTTCATGTCATATGATTTGTTTTCCAGTATTAAGGGCTATTAATGAAGACAGTCCAACTGTACCCAGCCTACTTACAGACTACATCCTTAAAGGTATGAATGTTATACAGCTTAATTATCAGTACAGTTTGTTTGAAAATTTTGTAATGAAATTAAACTCGGAAGTATAATGTTTGATCAGAAACCTTAGAAGTAAACCATTATTTATATAAATACCTTGGTAGTTCAGATCAATTCACCTGAAACTCTTGCTTTATTATTATTAAAATTTTTTTAGTTGGTTTTAATGTTCTGTCAGATTTATTATGGCTTTTTCTAAAAGAGACTTGTGTATGTAGGCTTGTATAGGCATCATTCTAGATGTTAGTTGTTCTGATGGTAATACTTGGGTTATGGTTCATCATCATCACATGTATCTATAGTTTGATATATTAATCAGGCATTGCTTAGCCTTTATGTGACAAGCCTTAGCCACCAGTATAGAGCCAGGCCAGCCTGTATTTCTGTGCTGTCTGACCAGACTTTATACTATCAAATTTTCATCTTGATATCCCCAAAAGTTCTGAAAATGAAAGCTGGTCAAATCCAATTAAGGGTTCAACACTACCACCATACTGTTATAGCTAAACACACATGGAGGATTGGGTAACAGAATGTGTAGCCTCAGTAAATAAAGACTTTACTTACTTACTTTGCATACATTATACATTTGTTGTTTGCTTATTGATAATGTATTATTATATATTTCAGTATTATGTCCTACATAGAATGTGTATGCCAAAGGGGACCAGTCATCCAAACAAAGTGCAATATAGATAGCTTTAGAGATTTTCTGTGTAACCATGGTTATATGTTTGAACTTAAAATATCCAATGCATGCCTCATTTTTACATAGATCTTAATGTTGGTTGTGTAGTGTGATACATTATTGTTTGAAATTTTATCTTACAAAAAAACATGGAGTTTTAATTATTTTCTGCTGTGAACAAGAATTATTGTGTAACTTTTAAAATACTTTAGTACAAACAAATGTGTTGGTTCAAAATTAAAGAGGTTATGTTGTTTGGGTTTCTTTCTGACAGATCACTAGATCTATCTTTATAGTGATATGGTTTTATTCTTTACTTGATATTTAGGTACTATTTGAATCTGTTTATACATGAAACGAGGACTAGCATTTAACCCAAAGGTTGTGTATATAGTAACAATATGAAAAGCTGTAGAAATTACAAAATGTATTGAAAGATAAGTATAAGTGGACTAAAAATTTTAAAAAGGGCTAATTGTTAAAAATTTCTTGTTTCTGTAAGACTAAGAATTTTCATACGGTTAATTGCAGTTTTGATAAAAATATGGGGCATGAATCTGCAATTTTATATTTCCAACCTACCCTGTTGTTAATTATATTATTCAATACCAGAATCCTACATTAATATTTCAAGCTAAGATGATTAAGGCTACTACATGTCTTTAATTATGTCATTTTTGTCTTAATTGAGTCAATAATTCATGAAAATCCTGGGAGCCAGTGATAGTAATAAGCAAGGGAGATAATTCTAGTTTGTCTGACAGTATCTGTAATTTAATATTTAATTGAGATATTCTTGAGATCTTTGATATTACAGTGAGAATGGTTGTTTTTTATCTGTGCTTAGATTTAAAATTTCACTACATATACTATTGATAAGACTTTATATTTTGCATCTTTTGCTTAATTACCTCATTTCATTGTTGAATTCTGTTTAAATTGCCTTTTATATATAGAATGTTCCCACTCTTACTTACTAGTATATGAATAGGTTGAAAGTGTTGACTTAACGTCTAATTTATGTCAACAGACATCGGAAGTTGAATGAACTTTTTTGTTGTGTATTGCTAAACATGTGTTAGATGTAGATTCTGTGACGAAATGATGACTAGAAGTGTATTGAAAAAATTTCAGTATCTTTTCATTTTTTGTATGAACTATACAGTAAGATTGAGTATACATGTAGTCAATGCTTTTCTTACATATTTTATAAATGTGTAAGCTTTCTTGTGTACTGTAGAATGCTTATAATATCATTACATATACTTAAAAGTATGGTATCAGTAGAAAGTCATCATAAATAGCAATATATACATGTGTATAATTTACACAAATTGTCATTTCATATAGAAATATTAAATGAGTATTATACAAAATGTTATAAAGTGAGCATTTAGTGAGCACAAGTTGACAACAAATGTGAGATTCTTTCTACATACTGATTCAAGAAAGTTTGAAAATCCTGAAAAACAGGAAAAAATCAGTTGACGGGCCATATTATCAAAAGTGTTGCGTATGTTACATTGCAAACAAGTGAAGTCATACGATATTAGTTTAAACATATTTATTTCCCGAATATATACATTTACATATATACATATACAACACTAATCAAACATTTTATATTCAAGAAAAATATTACAACAGAAGACTTGAGTCTAAAATTCTTCCCTTTTGCAATATTTGATTTAATTTATGTTCACATAATATAAACCTGCTATGTAAGGACGAGCAAAAGACTGCAATAATCAAATTATCACATTTTATTTTCTATAGAAACATGAATTTTTTTTTTCTTTTATATTAGTGTTTACTAAATCAACAGTATGTTATCGACAATCAAATTATATTTTATATTTTGAAAAAAAAATGATAATGAAAGATGAAACATTAATAAGATTTAAATGTCACTAGATATAGCATATAAACAGTAAAAGCTGTTTTACAATAGTGTAGGAATCATTAGATTTTAACCATAGTTTCACAACAGAAATAAAAAATAATGTTTTTTTTTTTGCTTTGTGCATAATCAGTTAATGTAACAAAGCAAACTAAGTGATTGTTGTTTATGTTATTGTTGTTTTGTTACATTGTGTACAGCAACAGTTTGTAATAAGAAATCAATCCTGTCTCTGTTTATGTAACAGATTTTTTTTATAACATTGTTAACAGCAACAGTTTATGTAATGAAAAATCCTGTCACTGTTAAATTAGCTGTTACAGCAAAGTAGATTTTGTATATGTAACAGTTGCTTTATATTACTGTGTTATAAGATTTTTTGCCCAGATCTTTGCTATTATAACAGTCCCATTTCAGTAACAGAACCCACTGGTCATTTACTGTATGTACTATAGATCGCTTTTGTAATCTTTAATATATGTACAAAGACATAAAACATTTCATGTATATAGTACTTCTGTCCATTTATATATTGTGCAATGCAACAATCTCTTTTTTGATTGTGAAGTTTTAAATACATTTTATATTGTTGTCGTCATTATTTAATGAAAGCTGATTATAATGTTCATGTTGTTACATCTTTAAAGTTTCTCATTCATTAGTTAAGGTCTAAGTTCATATAGTAAGTCCCTCACTGCTGTAGGTTTAAATCCTGCCATGGATTTGTGAGCAAGCTAACCAGCTGGCTTAAGAAAGATCTATGGTCCTACTCGGGTGCCTACTGACGCCTGAAATAATGCATAAAGGGGCGGTACCAAGGTCTTCCTTTAACAGTAAAACTCAAAAATAAAACCATTTGACATGTACAGTATCCGTGTGACAGAAAACCTATAACAAAACAAGGCAAAGTTCATACATTGTCTATATTATATCTTGACAACTTGTTGTTCTAGTATTATGGTTTAGAAAATGATCATCTGAGTATAAATATAACAAAATCTTAACTTTTGAAAATTAACAACAAAGTTTAATTCATGGTTGACATTGCATTATTCAGATTGACAGTTCAGTGTTTGTGTAATGATTTACTGTCACATGACATATGTCTACTGTTTGATATACCAATTGGGCAATGCTTAAAACACTTGCCTCTGCCTTTAGTAGACATCTTAAGAATGATAAAAAAACTTGTATTTGATAGAAATATTATATAAATATTATATAAAAACACTTGGTTTCATTAATAATTAGATCACTAGCAAGAGTGTTAGGTTTTGTCAGAACTTGGTAGAGGAACATTTGTTATCTTTTGTTCCACAGTGTATAAATTAAAAATGGGAATCAGAAACTGCTTATACCATTTCACCATGTTTTATTTACAATAAGGCATGCTTAACTTACAAATTCAGTTAAAAACAAAATTAAATAACAAATGCATGATTAAGAAAATAGTAACCTTATCAGTTTTATTCCACAAAAGATATATGATAATTGTCAGCCTTATTTTACTATAGTGAGCTACTTTATTTTGCCTTCCCTGCCAGTTGTGATGAAAGATTGTGATTTGTTTATGTTAATATCTTACTGCAAAACAACTGTATGTATTTTGTTCTGTAATGAATTTATGGTGATCACATATGTTCCATATTGAATTTATGAAAATTGGAATATTTTCATGAAGATCATATATTTTCCATATTGAATTATAAAGATCACATAATTATGTGTCCTGTACTGAATTTATGAAGACCATATAATGTTCTGTACTGAATTTATGAAAATCTTCATAAATTTTCATTGCATTTGTATAGAACATATTTACACACAGTTGTTTTACATGTAATTTTACATTGTTACTGGAATTTATTGATGTTTTGTATACATGCAGCATGTGTTACTTTGACAGAAAAGTGATAGTAAAGTGAAAGTTAGGTTTTTGTTAGCAAATAAATGCTTTTAATTTGCTGTTCAGGGTATGCTTAAATTTTCAGAGTTTGGTAATTATGTTATAAGGTACTTAGATTGTAGTAAAGGTTTTCTTGTTAATATATAATTATTATATAAGTTATACCATAATATGTTGTTGTTTTAGCGAGTGTCTTTGGTTGTGTAGAAATGACAAGCTGTGAGCAAGTACTTCTATAATATTAATATCTTAATTTTATGAGTTATTAACGTGTAATATTAATTACATGTAAATTAAGTAATTTTTTTACTGTGACTTATTCTAGAGTTATTTTATATGACTTTAACAAATATAAATTTTATTTTTAATGACTAACTGTATAAAAAAAGGCATAATTTTTTGAAAGATGCCTTTGATAAATTTTCCAAATTAAGCCTGCAAAAAGAAAATGAATTTACCACGACAAATCTGAGTTTTGATGAAAATCATACCTTCAAATATATTTCATTTTTTCTCTTGGTATTTTACATTTCATAGTGAAATTACTGATTTTTCAAGTGACTGATACATGGACTATGTGAAATAGGCTAGTATATGATGTAATATAAGAAGTTTTACAGTAATTGGACATGTAGAATAATTAAAAAAATTAATGATTTTTTGTAGTTTTTACAATGGCATGTAGTGTTACAGGGTAGTGAAGTATCAAACCGTAGATCTGATTATTGGTATAGGGATTTTTATTCATTTATATATGAAATGCATGTGTATTTAGAATTAATTGTCTTATTCTAAGTTCTAGTATACTTTTTATATAAATTTGATTATCTTTTATGTATGAATGGTTACAGAATTACATGCAAAATAGTATTGAGAATAAGAGGTCATGCTAGCATATAAATATGATGTAATATCCAATGTATACACAATAACATAATAAACTGCATTGGCAAGTTTGACTGATAATGTAAGGTTAAAGCATTTTTCTTGTCAAGTTAAGTTGCCAGTATTTTATATAGTGTGTTACTTGTGTCGTTTCATGTTTTTAGAATAAACAGTTTGTTATTTAACATGTTTAAAAATGTGAACATCATTTTATATAATCTGATTAATTTGACCTTTTCTATATAAATGAAGTGTTGCTTGGAAGGATGATATAATATACTGGGTATGTAAAAAATAGAATCCTAAAAAATGTTCAAAACAGCAAAATTGAAAATGTTGACAGATGGCTTAACAGAAAGTGAAGTTAGGTGAAAACAAGGTTTAGAAAAAATAAATGCATAATAAATTAATTCATTGGAATCAATATGGTTTAAACAATGTTGTGTGTGCTTAGGAAAATGGGGATACATTTTTTTTATTTAAAAATCCGTTTTTACAGTGTAGTAGTTTAGAGCAACCTGATAAATGTTTTATATAGTTATTTTGTAAAAAGATGATTTAGGTTTAATTTTTAAATCTTTAACAAAAATATGGTAAAAATATAGTCCACTGAACAAATAATTTTACTGTATATGCCAAAATAACAGTAACGTGCATGGCCTAATTACACTGAATTTGTTTTATGATGATTTATGCACTATTTGTGTTGCACCCTTAATTTAGACAATTATAAAGTGTACCTTTAAACCTTCATATTGTCTAGACTTTCTGAATTTGTGAATTTTACTCTTCATGATAGACATTATGAATTTGTGCATTTTACTAATAGAGAAAGATTTTGCTAGAATATTCAATTGGAAAAATGGATTAAATTTCATTATGAAAACTTGAATCTATTTGACATTTTGTATAAAATTATGCATTAGTCAATAGTTATTATGGCCCCCATCCCAGCCTCGGGGGGGGGGGATATTTGATTTTTGACTTGATTTTCAAACTCGTGATAGAGGCTCTACCATGCAGTTAATCAGCTGGTGAAATCTCTAATAAAAGCTCGTGCACTGCAATTTCGTGATATCCTTGGCCATTTTTGGTGTAAAAACAACACTACAGCATTGATTTAGCAGTGCTGGAACATTCAAGTTGTTAAAAATCTCGCTTAACTCCATGCTAGAGCATTGTTTCAATTGATTTACATGTTGTGAAATCAAGTGATTTACATGTTGTGAAATCAAGATGCTGCATAAGTAAACATAATGGCTTTGTTTTTAAGAATAGAATGGGTTTTTGGGGGCATAAACTTTCACAGGTCTAGACTTTACATATAATTGTTCAAACATCTAATAAAGACTCTTCACTTAATGTGACATTATGCTTATTTTTATTTATTGATGTCAAATATAGCTGAATTAGCTATATATTTCAAAAGAATAAGTGTTGAAATGAAATAAGAATGGTAATTGGCCAGTACTAGTAATTGATAATTAAAAAAAAATGATTTATTAACTGTCTTAAATACAAATATTTATTTCATGCTTTCCAGTGTTTTATTGTAATATATCAGATGATTATATTCTGATAAACCACTAGTGAAATTTATAAAATATAATTTTCACTGTAGCCGGACTATATCTGAATGTGGATGAAAAGAAAATTAAACTAAATGGAATAACAGACCGAAATAAGTGCCGCCAAACGTAAATTTTGCTTCTTTAGGAAAAGAAAGTCGATGTCACCATACATCATGTTAAAAATGAAGCAAAATTAGAGAAATTTAACAGAACTATATTTCAAAATTGATGATGTGACGTCATGATGTGATGACGTCACGAAGGAGAATGCGCGACGTTACGCGGCAAAATCAGTAAAAAATACTTAAAATCACATTAAAAGCATCAAATAAAAAGAAAATTTATTTGTTTTACATATAAGATTGAAATATATTTCATTCGTGAACACCAGCTATTATATTTTCACTCATGGCTACGCCACTCGTGAAAATATTGCATCTGGTGTTCACTCAGTGAAATTATATTTCAATCTTACATGCAAAACAAACAAATATCCTCTATTGTTTCATTTTTTTATCACTGGAATGATACATGATAAATTCAGTTTGGAAGGGTGTTGATAATATTTCAGTGTGTCACATAGGTTATTGTTTATCTTTATAATGTATAAGATTAAACCTTAACCATTTATGGCAAATTGTAATGTTTATTTTACTTACCTGCAAACTCGCTTTTTTTTGGATGGGCATAATGTCAATTGGACTAGATTTCAGGTGGCGAGTACAGTATATGAAATAACTAAGGAAGTTGTTGCCACAAATTAAAAAAAAAATCTAATTATTGAACATTTACAGTTTAAAAACAAAAATCATTGCTATAAAGGTCTGTTAAAATGACTGTATAGTTTGAAACAGTTGAAAATCAAATACTTTTTCTTTAAACCTAATGAAGCTTATTTTCCCATTTTACAAAATGTGTGTATTGTTATATTGAGAGACTTGTGTGATGCTCTTCCTATACAGTTAGTGTTTTACAATGAGATGACAAGGTTCACCATTCAATTTGATCTTATATTTCAGATTTAAATAACTCTCTATATGATGTTCACATCAAGGTTTTTTATGTTATTTTGTATTGTTTATTTCTATTGTGCCAATTATCTTGTTTTTTAGAATGATTATTTATATATTTTTTGTTTTCAAGTCAGTTGTTTAAGAATTGTTTACCTTCAGTGGACTGACACTGTTTCTTATTTAAATTTACCTCTCCATGCATGCTGAACAATATAAGATAATACATTAGTATCTTTGTTAGAAACTGGACATTTTGTCCTATTTGATATTTTTTTATAAGAAATATTCTTTTTTAGAATTAATTTTTCTTTATCTATAAAATGTCTATATGTATGACAATAAAATAACCTTCTTTGAATTTCCATATATACATGTATATATAAATATATATATATGTCATGTAAAAAAAAAAGGAAGGAAAGGAGATTAAATGACTGTTATAAGATTTTTTTAAATTAATCAGAAAATTTATTGAAATGTTAATTAGCACAGGTTCTTTCAAATTCTATTTGAAAGACCCTAATTAGCATACATAATTAATAGAAAATCAAAATATAAATTTCGAACAGCGCTTAGACAAACGTGATTTTTAGAAGATAGAAGTTTTAGAGACTTAGACTGTTGATATAACAAATTTTCATTTTTATTTCTATCTTACTCTCACTCTTTACTCTTTACATTTATTATAATGCCATAGACTCATTATTAACAGCTTGCACGGTATCAAGAAGTCAACCCTAAACCTACTGTATTTATGTAATGGATTAGGCCTACTTTCAATTTGTGACAGTCCATTAAATTTTTAGGGGTTTCATTATCGAAGTACAAAGTTACTGATGGTATACAGTCTGTTCAGATTGCAAGCTGGCCTGGCTCCATACTGGTTGCAAAGGCTTATCATTTTTTTTGTACCAGCAGATTAAAGGTTAATTTCCAACTGGCTGATTTAACTCAACCCCTATTGTAAGAGGAATATCATCTAATGTAAAAGCATGAATCAGGACCATCAATGAAAGGGTAGGTGGTCTGAGAGTGCAGGTGGTCTATGTTTAGAATATATCATGAATGACTAGAAGATATCATATATGAATATGTTTGTTTATATGAATGGCCATATAGTAAAGCTTGAATCAAACCTGTATACTTTACTTAAGTTTTTCTATGTATTATTTCAACATGTGTACAACCAGTGTTTCTCTCTTTTTTTAGGTTTTTGTAATTACACATATATGTGTATGTGAGCTTCAATTTTAATAAAACTTTCAATAAAATTTTGTGTTCCTTTTACGTTTTATATCAAATTTTGTTATACATGTAGTTTCATGTATAGAAGATAGGATAAGTCCAAGTATGCAGTAACATGTATAAAAGATAGGATAACTCCAAGTAAGGACATTGTTAACATATATAAATGAAGCAATATTTTAATAGGGATAGCAAACTACTGCTCATACAGTGCCAATTAAACTGAAAAAAAGTCTATTATTGCTGTACAATTTATTTGTCTGATTATAAAAAGAAAATAATGAATTTGCAGTTTCTGTAGCAGTGTATACAAATGTTATATCCAATGAAATTCAGCTTTACAAACATGATTACTGTATAAAGTAGTCAAACAATGACAAGATGTGTACCTGAATCTTGTGTCTGCTGATTTATAACAGACTCACACCTTTCAAAAGTAAACATGATAAAGGTAACCCTTAAACAAATAATTATGACAATAATAATTTATGTAAGTGGAGGCTGATAATTATTTAATAAAAGATTTGAAAAAAAAAATGTATTCTACATAAGCGCAGTGTTGTCATCCCAAATGCTATCTCAAAATTATAACGTAATAGTTTATAACCTGTTATACAGGAGACCTTTGGTGCCATGCTAAAGGTGAAGGTCGAGGTTATTTTAAACAGATAATATTTTATTTCATCCTTTCACTGTGTTCTTAAGTAGCATTTTAAAACTCTTTGATGACAGACGATGTTTCATAGTTAGGTGACTTGCAATTTGATTAAAATCAGCTCTAAATAACGCTACGCATTTACACGTAAAGAAATAAGCAGATGATTGGATGACTCGTAAATTAAAGAAATTTGAGCCGTGTCATGACAAAACCAACATAATGGGTTTGCGACCAGCATAGATCCAGACCAGCCTGCGCATCCGCGCAGTCTGATCAGGATCCACGCTATCAGTTTCTCTACTTGTAATAGGGTTTGTAAGCGAACAGCATGGATCCTGATCAGACTGCGCGGATGCGCAGGCTGGTCTGGATCCATGCTGGTCGCAAACCCATTATGTTGGTTTTGTCGTGACACGGCTCATTTAATCTTCCAAGAAATTGTGTGTCTTTTGCCAGAAACATTTCTCAGCCAGAGCAGCAACAAAAGTTTGGTCCACATGTTCCGAGGTCACAGTTGTTGTATCTGTATGTATGCAGCCCTAACTTCCCCGTGTCCGTGTTGCTTAGTGATGCAGCATTATACACGTGCAAGGCATTGAAACATTTTTTACTGGAAATACAAATATAATTAAGTAGTCTTACAATTCTTAAAATATGTCTTTTTTAAATATGTCATATATAATATTAAACATGTATAATATATTGACATGTAAGCTATTAAAATAAATGCAATTTACATGGAACGCGCCAGCAATTAATTGTTGTAGTTGGCACTGATCAATTACGGAATAATCCATGTATATATCATTCCAATACTGCAGTAGGGTGTACGTCCAATTGAGGAGTCTGACATACATGTTTGTCTCATATTGTAGGCAACAACCAGTTCTTACTTAATTTCATTATAATGCATGTATGAATCATGCCAAATGTACATTTTCAGAAAGAAGTCCGTCAATCTTCAAACCAGTTTGCTCGGTAAATTATCTCGATCAACGTTATTCAAAGTATAATTGACACGTGACTTTGTCAAATTATCATTAGTGTACTGGCTATTTACCTTTAACTCATCTTTTTCGACTTACTTAAATAGAAGATACCGCTTCATATAAACTGACTTACGTTAAGTTGGCACAGATAGCTGTGCAAGTGGCTGCTGAGGCGGAACAAGTTCGTCTTACAGCATACACGTGAGACGGCTTTCCCGGGTAAAATGGCGGTGCACGTGGACTGTGCAATCTCGTCCTTGTAGGCTAACGGGTTTGGAGTAGTGTCTGCAAAATATTTAACAGAAGGTATCAGTGGAGATGAAGTAGTTCATCAAACATTACCATTTACAATGCATACTTCTTCTGTATCAAACGTATATATTTCCCCGAAGGATTTTGTTTAAAACTGACAATATTAATTCTAGCCAAATAGATTCATAGTCATAGCATTGTCACATTATCTGTCTGTAAATTGTTAACATAAAGATTGCCACACCAGGCAAGTCGAATATCATCAATGTAGTGTTATTTTCAGCTTACAGTCATACTATGCTACATAACAAAGTAGTCACGAATATCAGGATTGATGAAATTTGACCAAAGAATTCCCAGCGTGTGACCTCCAAGTTCAAGTCAGTATAAGACTATATCATATCTATTTAGCTTTGATTTCATTTTCAGAATATTAAAAAAAGAAAAAAGAAAATCCATTTCGAAACACAATTGTACGCTGACTAGCATTTACTTTTCTACTTCAGATTAAAGAAATGCATATCAACGCTTTTCTGTAGTCAAAATGTCAAACATTGGCGATAAACACGTCTTTTTTGCAGATTATGCAGATGTCAAACCTAATTGATAGATCCTTACTCTGACCTTTCATTTGAATAACAATTAACATACCCACAAACATTAACATGTGCTCTTTTGTTAACAAATATGTTGTGGTGAAATTCTTATTGTATCCACTTATCTGATAGGTCAGGGACCTATTCATAGCCAATCAGAACGGAGCTTTATGAACGATATAGGATATTATTGAATACAATACTGATTCTATTGAACTTGTACACAGCTACAAATCCTGTATTAGACTCGAATCTTATAGTAGTACATGTATGTAGTTATTTTATATATGCTGTTGTTTTAGTTATGTATGTTGTGGTTGGAGCTATATAAAAATGGTATTTTTACAGTTTTTTATAGCAATTTTTCATATCTTAATGATGACAGGTGTCTGAACGTAAACACTTCAGATAATGGTGTCACATTGAAGCTGAAGGTTCACTGATTCTGAGAAACGCACCGTTCTTATACGTGTATCTCTCAAATCAACATATATAGTATAATATTAATTAGTATAATCTTCTTCGTTTACTTAAATTGAATGCATCATATAGTATACAAACAAAGTTAGAAATATAGTTACAATAGCAGCACTATAATGATGTTGTTGCCTCATGAAAACATAGAAAATCTGTGCTATTCTACTGTTGCAGATAGCAGTAAAACAGTAAAACTGCTTGATTTTACCAGCAGTAACAGCAGTGTTAATAACGGTAAAGCTAAACTGCTAACTTCACATGCATTTACTTACGTTTGCTGTTTGCACAACAGCAAAAATTGGGCCCACAACCTGTCCCTGTACAACTGTTATATTTATACGAATGGAGTCCTGCTTTCCCCGTATCACCAGCTGCGAGAATTGTTCCAGAGTACACGTGTAAAGCATTGTAACATATTTTCCTGACAATGGCAAACAATTAGTTCAGTAGTGTTATAATCTTATACGTTTTGTATTAAGTAAGCAATTATGTAGAAAAACGAAAGGATTTCAGTATTAAAATACAAAAATTGAGCCGCCAACATTATAGAGCCCGGTTACACAGGTGTACAGGCGCGACTGGTTCTATATTGGTCCATCAACATATAAATGAATAATAAATATTTAAAATTAAAATTGTTATGTTTGTGCATTCATTATTAGACATTATCAACTATAGTTTTGTATAAAGGGAAATTTGTTACTTATGAAATATCTTCCGAAGAAGATCTACCGTACCCCACATTTTTGCATACAGCCTCGCAAGTTTCAGCCGACGGACAAGTCCGTCTAACAGCATATACATGGTCAGGTTGTGTGTCCGGGATAATTGATGTACATGATCCTTGTGCTATTTCATCCTTGTAATCAAATGATTCTACAGGACCTTTAGTTTAAACATATTTTATTGCATTTAATACATGTTTATAAATATATCATACAAATAATGAGTATATATCAAAATGCAAATGGGTTGGGCAACAAGTTCTTACAACATTAGATTAAGCCCTTCCCAGAAATTAATATTAAAGAAGAAAATTCTTTGAGGCAACAATGATTATTTTTAACATGCATATAAACTTTAAAATATGTATTTAATTTTTGAACAATTCATTTATTCATTAAAATTTAATGTACAAATTTGATTTTGAAGTGCGATCCGCCCACAGGTTGCCATCCCGATCTCACTGTAGTTGTTAAAATAGATGCAGTTTGGTTTTTTAGGGAAGATTGGTAATGAATCTTTGTTATTTAAGAACGGTAAAATTAGAACAAATAAGCTAATATAAATGACGAATTTTAGAATAAACACAAAATGAAAAGTCAAATATTGTCAAAACGACGAGTCGTCTTGATAAATTTTTGAACTGATTCGAAAATGACAATGTTATCTTCGTATTCTAAATTTTCACGACCGAACAATAGTGTATCAATGTTTAATGGATGATAAGATCGGGTTTCTCGAAAGAGTATAATTCGTTGTTCGACGTAACGATTACATTTGAAAAAGAAATGCTCGGCATTTCAAATCATAATATCACATTGACAAAAAGGGTCTTCGCGCAAATGGTTATTATATAAATCGTTATTTAAATTACTACAATTATTTGTTATACGTGTATGCAATATTGATAAGTATCTCTGGCCATAAAAATAATGCTTCGGAACCGTTGGTGCTTTAAAAAGATTTTTTAGTCTAGATTTAAATATGTTGAGTGTCTGAGAGTTTCGTATATTTGGGTTATTCCATAATTCTAACGAGGATGGTAAAAACGACGCATTATATAATTGAGTGCGTCTAGCTATAGTAACATAGTTGTTATTATTTCGCAAAGGATAAGAGGTAGTTTCTGATACAGTAGGCGGAAACAAAGAAGATAAATGGTCCGGAAGTAAACCGTTTTTAGCTTTATAAACAATTACAAGTTTTTGAATTTTTCGCCTATCAGAGAGTGAGACCCATCCGACTTCTTTGACCAAGCAATCTATCGATACTGACCGAGTTGCACCCGTAATAATTCTAGCGGCTTCGTATTGTAATTGCTCAAGTGATTGTTTTTCATATGCAGCACACCCATCCCAAACAATTGATGCATACTCAAGTATCGGACGCATATAAGATATATAAATCTGGTTTAAAGTAGATCTTTAAAGTTGGAATTTTAAAGCACGCATAGAACCTAATACTTTTGACGCAGAAGCTGAAATATTATTAATATGTTCGTGCCATTTCAAGTCGCAAGAAAGAGTTAATCCTAAATGTTTGTGATTATCCACGAAATCTAGAGAGATATTATCAAAAACTAACGAGGGTTTGATTCTATGATTTTGAGAGAAGAACATAACTTCAGTTTTATTTGGGTTGAAATCGGAGTTAAATAAAGAGCTATCGTCAGCAAAAAGTCTTGTAACGCTTAGAAGATTTTCAGCAATATCGTTCACATATATAAGAAATAAAAGGGGACCAAGGGCTGAGCCCTGTGGGACACCCGCTGATATATTTAGCACTTCCGAACATTCAGGACCAACAAAAACAGATTGTTTACGATTAGATAAATAATTTTCGATCCATGTAAGAAGTTCATTATTTATACCATATTGTTTCAGTTTGAAAAGTAAACCCGAATGCCACACCCTATCGAACGCTTTTGATATATCACAAAATACAATGCAAGTAGATTGCTTTTTGTCAAATGATTCGCAAATTTGATGATACATGTCGATTAGTTGATAAACTGTCGAATGGCCCGGAAGAAACCCTGATTGTAACGGATATATCAATTTATTACAATGCAAATGGTTATATATATGCTTAAATACAATTCTTTCCATGACTTTCCCAATGCAGCTTATTAGTGATATAGGTCTATAATTGGATGGAATATGGGGGTCACCCTTTTTAAAAAGGGCATAACATTTGCAAGTTTCCAGGAACTGGGATATGAGCCTTCATGGAGTGATCTATTAAAAAGTACACTAAGAGGATAACAAATACTGTTTCGCGTTTCTTTTAAAATTCGATGGCTAATTTCGTCCGGCCCTGTTGCTTTATTTAAAGTTAAATTTGCAAGAATATCTTTTGGATAGTGAAATCGGGTAATATGCTCTCCGTTCTAAGAGAGAAAGGCGGTATTTGGGTATTTGATGCATCAACGGTAGAAACTGAGATAAAATATTCGTTTAAACAGTCAGCTTTTTCCTTATTAGAGCAATAACATATTTCGGCGTCATTAACTTCAGAAAATAAAACTGGAATGTTATTACAATGACATTGATCGTTGTTATTTTTTATTAACATTTTAACGGGTTTCCAATAAAATTTCGGGTTATCTGATTTGGCTTCCTCTAATGAAAATTCAAGGTTACTATAAAATAATTCTTTAGCGTGTTTTTTTAGATTATTAACTTTATTGCGTAAATGCTTGAAACGGCTTGAGTCATTAAAAGATTTAGTTCTAATAGCGATTTTTTTCGTTCTATCTCTTTTTCTTGAAAATCGCCGTATTTCCGAGTCGTTCCAATGTCGATCATATTGACGAATACTTACATAATTAGTTGGTATACATTGTTTTGCTAATTCAGTAAGTACTGATGTAAAGTTTTCGCAAGCATCATCTACAGAACGTGACAAAAGAAAAGCCCAATCATAATTAAGAATTAGGTTATTAAGTTTGTCGAAATCCGCTCTTTTGTAATTCCAAACACGACGTTTGTATGATTTAAAAGTCTCTTTTTCGAATTTGATAAAAATGTAAGTCCCGTAGTGGTCACTTATGTTGTTTGGTGTACATGAAATACCCGAATTATATATACTTATAGAAGAGGAAACTGCGATCGGATCTAGAAGAGTTGAAGAATTTACCGTAACACAAGTTGGTTCATTAATTACATTTTTCAGGTCATTAATCAGAAGAATATCTCTAAATGTGTGATTATTTCTATTAAGCTGGTCCTCATTAATGTCACCTACAATGATTATTCTTTCACTGATTTCAAAAGCTTTTTCAACGCTATTACTTAGTTCTAACCAAAAAGAAGTAGGGCCACTCGGCTGCCTATATACAGTACAAAGTAAGATATTTTCATTTTTGTGTCTAAGTTCGACCCAAAGACAATCATTTAGATAAAATTCCAGTTCATATTTATGCTTAGAAATTACTTCATCGGAGACATATATCAGAATTCCCCCAGAATGACACGAGACATCGTTTCTATAAAAAGAATAATTGTCTATTTTTAAACTATTATCGGATACTGAACTATCAAGATGAGTTTCCGTAAAACAAAGTATGTCGAAGTCGAGCCAGTTGTCTTTAATGTGTAAAATTTTGTTACGCACGCTTCATATATTTTGACTGTTTAGAGATCAACGTATCAACCATCAGTAAAACAATTGACAGAAATCATATCCCTGGGCATTAAAATTATTAAATATACCGACATGTTAAGTAAAATTATTTTTCAATATTTTTTTCTTCGCTTACCTTATTGTTTTTTATCACACACCCGTGCCGATTTTGCGACTCCGTAAATATGGTATTGCACGGCCGTGCATATATTTTGACGTGACGTCATTAGTGTTATACAAACATAGTGTAAAGACGCGCTAAATGTTAGCGTTATACTATAGGCGCGTCAATGAAAAATGACTCTTATTTCACTTTAAATGGTCTTTATTTTGGGTATGTGATAAATAGAATATTAAATTCGTGTAAGTTCATTACTGAATTTATTGCACTCGTTGAATAAAATAATATTATGCTCGCCAGAGGCTCGCATAATATAATTTTATTCAACTCGTGCAATAAATTCAGTATTGAACTAACACTCATTCAATATCCCCTATATTGTAATGGTTACGATAAGTTACGATACGATACGATACGTTACGATAGGATGCGGTGCGATGCAATGCTATCTTCTTATGTACATTGACTTATATTATACTGACTCTATTTAGTGGGTTTAATATTATTCAAATTTATAGAGCAGTGAGTCGAATAAACATAACAATTTCAAAAATACAACAACATTAACGTAACGCTACAAAAATGGTTAGCTTTTATAAAGATGCTGGTAGCAGCTCAATTCTTTTTTACTGGTTGTCGTGTTTAGTTAAAGTTATAAGTATTGCTGATCTCTTTTTCAAGGTTATGAATTAAGTAATAGAGTAGTTAGACAATAGGAAAAAAGGATATTTTACCGCTTTAAATTAGAGAACGTGTACATTATGCATTTGATCTTTTTTACAATCCATTTAAACATTTTACATCATGCGCGCCTATTAGCGAAAAGATGGTAATTCACTTTGCAAGCGAGACCAGTTTTATGTGTTAGACATTTTATATAAAGTCTCATAAAAAATTGCATCTGTAGCATAAATATTCAATTTTAAGATATGCTTTTGGGCAATTTTTCATTATGTAGGTCTGAAAGAAATTCAAAAGAGTAACCCGTCCACTACACAGAAAATAATCCGCTGGATTCTTTACAGGAGAGACTAATCGTTACTTTTCGGCCATTTTTTCCAATTTGTCGTGTAGTTATACCCATTTCATACCTGTAGAGCGGAAAAGGCAATTTCTAACACCACATTAAGCAGTCAACACATATAAGCTTTTATCATTGAGATTGACAGTACGAAACCATTTGATAGTTTTTACTTCTAAATATTTCAGTCAGAGCACATGATTAAATAAATGAATAATAATAATAATAATAATAATAATAATAATAATAATAAGAAGAAGAAGAAGAAGAAGAAGAAGAAGAAGACGAAGAAGAAGAAGACGAAAAAGAAGAAGAAGAAGAAGAAGAAGAAGAAGAAGAAGAAAACAACATTAAATAACTTACCAACAGCAAGGAGAACTAAGGTACACACAGTGAAGACGCTCATATTAAACAGCATTTTTAGCGTAGAAATCCGAAAAACGCAAGTAGGTAAATTAAGATGAAAAGAGACGCGCTCCTTATAAATACCTTAAGATACTTAAGGCCAAGAGAATAAATAGAGGATATTCAAGTTTCTTCAATAAATACAGGATTAATTTTCATCGAGTGGTATGAAAATAAATAGTTCACGAGTGGCAATAGCCACGAGTGAAATAGGATAATTTTCATACCACAAGATGAAAATAAATCCTGAATTAATAGAAAAACTTTAATGTTCTGTTTATTATATTATTATTTTTTTAACCTTATGAATAGGAACAATTCCTACGAAAGCCTAATAGTGTCAAATGAAATAAAAAATAAAAATGCAAGGGCGTTATAACGCGAATAAAGGCATTATTACGCGAATCAAAAGGCGTAAGAACGCGAATAAAGGCGTAGCAACGCGAATCAAAAGGCGTAATAACGCGAATAAAGGCGTTATAACGCGAATCAAAAGGCGTAATAACGCAAATAAAGCCGTTATAACGCGAATCAAAAGGTGTAGTAACGCCTTTATTCGCGTTATAACGCGAATCAAAAGGCGTAGTAACGCGAATCAAAAGGCGTAATAACGCGAATAAAAAGGCGTAATAACGCGAATAAAGGCGTAATAACGCGAATCAAAAGGCGTAATAACGCGAATAAAGGCGTAATAACGCAAATCAAAAGGCGTAGTAACGCGAATAAAGGCGTAGTAACGCGAACCAAAAGGCGTAATAACGCAAATTAAAACACACTATAATGCCAATTTAATACCACATTTATACTAATCAAATTCGCGAGAAAGGAAAGACCAATATTGATCTGAATTTATTGCTCAAGATATAAATTCGTATACAATAATACAATATACATTTACAATAACTTTCATTCCATTTGCACAGTAATTATGCAAACTATTTGTCATAAACTAATAAAGACTCTTTAATATTTGCCAATATAAGATGACTTGGTGACTTATAGGTTAAAGTATTGCCTCCTTCAAATAACAATCCTCCTATGAAGTTTGAATATTGTGGGCCAAATGGAACTTAAGTTATGCTCCCGAAAAACCAAATTGCTTACGGACGGACGGACAAACAGACATACAGACGGACGGACGCACGTTCCAACATTTTGGTTTAGGGGCTATTTTTTTGTTATTTTCTTTGTCTCTTAAGGGCATACTAGCCCATAAACCCTTTGATCACGGATTGAACCTTTATTGTTCTCTTTTGTTCTCTTTACTGTTATATAGCCCCTAAACCAAAAATGTTTGCTCGGACGTACGGACGGCAGGGGGTTAACATAATATGCCCGAAATTCTTTTCGGGCATATAATAAAACGTACATCTAGATCAATTTCATTTAAATTCAACATTGTTCTTCCTTCCATAGCATTAATAGCCCTACTGTTTGGAATTATTATATGGTATTAAAATTTAAGCGTTATAACGCCTTTTGTTTTTGCGTTATTACGCCTTTTGGTTCGCGTTATTAACGCCTTTTGATTCGCGTTATAAACGCATTTATTCGCGTTAGTACGCCTTTTGATTCGCGTAAAATTAACACCTCTATTGTTTCGCGTTTATAAACGCGAATCCAAAGGGGCGTAATTACGCGAAATCAAAAGGCGTTTCTAAACGCGAATAAAGGCGTTTATAACGCGAATCCAAAGGCGTAAATTACGCGAATCAAAAGGCGTACTGACGCGAATAAAAGGCGGTTATAACGCGAATCAAAGGCGTTTAATAACGCGAATAAAGGCGGTTATAACGCGAAAACTAAAGGCGTAGTAACGCCTTTATTCGGCGTTATTAAACGCGAATCAAAAAGGCGTAATAACGCGAAAAAAAGCGTAGCAACGCGAAATCAAAAGGCGTAGTAACGCCCTTTATTCGCGCTATAACGCGAAACCAAAAAGGCGTAATAACGCTTTTATTCGCGTTTTTATAAACGCGAATCAAAAGGCGTTAATTAACCGGCGAATTAGGCGTTATAACGCCCCCGAAAAACAAAAAGGCGTAGTAAACGCCTTTAATTCGCGTTATAACAAAACTGAAACAAAGGCGTAATTACGCGAATAAAGCGCTATTATAAACGCGAATCACAAAGGAGCGTACTAACGCGAATAAGGCGTTATAAACGCCGAATCAAAAGGCGTATTAACGCCTTTATTCGCGTTTTAACGCGAATCAAAAGGCGTAATTACGCGAATAAAGGCGTTTTATAACGCGAAATCAAAAGGCGTAATAACGTGAATAAAGGCGTTAATAACGCGAATAAAAGGCGTAATAACGCGAACGCCAAAAGGCATAATAACGCAAAAACAAAAGGCGTTATAACGCTAAATTAATACCATATAAAATTCCAAACCGTGGCCTAGTAATGTAAGATAGGGAAGAACAATTTTTGATCTAGAAATAAATCGATCAAGACGTACGTTTTATTTTTTAAAATTCTGTACGGATACGTCCTAAGGCCTTCAGTCTAATTTTTTTTTAAATCTTTTATTAGGAAAGTTTTTCGTCAGATTAAAGGTTAAACTTTCACCCAACTATAGATTTACTTTTCTACATAGACAAAGAAGGTAATGTCTCCTATAATTGTGACTTAACTTAAAAACACATTTGATTAGTATAAATATGGTATTAATTGGCATTATAATTCCGTTTTAATTGGCGTTAGTACGCCTTTGGTTCGCGTTACAACGCCTTTATTCGCGTTACTACGCCCTTTTGATTTGCGTTATTACGCCTTTCATTTCGCGTTATAACGCCTTTTTGATTCGCGTTATTACGCCTTTTGATTCGCGTTATTACGCCTTTTATTCGCGTTTTTACGCCTTTTGATTCGCGTTATTACGCCTTTTGATTCGCGTTATTACGCCTTTTGATTCGCGTTATAACGCCTTTATTCGCGTTATTACGCCTTTTGATTTGCATAATTACGCCTTTTGATTCGCGTTATAACGCCTTTATTCGCGTTATTACGCCTTTTGATTCGCGTAATAAAGCCTTTATTCGCGTTATAACGCCTTTGTATTTTTATTTTTTATTTCATTTGACACTATTAGGCTTTCGTAAATTCCCTTTTATTTAAAATATATATTTTTTTACAGTGAAAATACGGAAAATAAAAATACGAAGTTCATTTCATCAATATTTCTCAATATATTTTTTTATAAGTATATAATAAAATAGTTGATAGCTACATTATGTTTGTTTGTGAAGTCTTGACCACTTAATTGTTACTTTATATTAATGTATGTTTGTGAAGTCTTGTTACTTTATATAAATGCAAGTTTGTGAAGTCTTGTTACTTTATATAAATGTATGTTTGTGAAATCTTGTTATTCGTTTCTTTTTATTAATGCAAGTTTGTGAAGTCTTGTTACTTTACATTAATGTCTTGTTACTTGTTACTTTATATAAATTTAAGTTTGTGAAGTCTTATTACTTGATACCTTATATAAATGTATGTTTGTGAAGTATTGTTACTTGTTACCTTATATTAATCAAACGTGATGTTTACGCGAGTGTAAATGACGACTATCGCAGCCAAATTGATCACTACGTGATATTTTTTTTTCCACATTTACGTCATAGAAACATTTCAATGTTTCACTTAGGTTTGGATTTTTGTTTGAACATTTTCATTTAATTGATTAATCATGAGATAAATTTGCATGAATTTTCCCTCTAGGTATTTAGCATCTATGTTTTTTTTAAACAAGTATCACTGTGGAAAAACGCATTGCGACCCAAACCCTAGTAACTTAGAAAAGTTTCCCCAAAATTTTTTCCCCCTTTGGGTTTTAACCCGATTTAATTCAGAATGTTGTTTTAAATTTTAAACATCAATCATCAAAGTTTAAAAGGACTTAAATTAATTAAAAAAAAGAACGTTTTATCCCCAAATCAATTTTTTAGGTTTTTATAGCCAAAAAAAAAAAATTTTAAGAAATAAGTTTAAAAAAGGCGAAAAAATATTTTGTAAGTGTCAAATGTGTTTGTAAGTAACTTACTGAACAAGCTACAAACTTAAGCACTGGCAGAAGGCTATCTGCTTTTTAACTACTTACACTTACTAATCAGATTTACAGATCACTAGGACTTAATTATAATAGTCAGGGTTTGATGAAAATTGTTAAATAAGAGGCTCGAAGTATAGGAAATAGTGATAATAGCGTGAGTATTTCTACTTTTATCTTTTAGTTTTGCCGATTTGATCCCGTTTTTGATTGAAATTGGTTAAGGCAAACAATAGCAACACAAAAAACTGCTTTGGTTTTGGCAAACACCTGAATGGACATTTTATTGATCGCTCTTATATACATAAATTTCCACCTATTTCAGGTATAAATATAGTTGTGCAAAGAAACTATAACTCTTGCATCAAAACAACGATTCTAATAAGGCAAAATAAGAGAGATCACTAACTTTACCTATTCATTTTTTTCAAGCGGAAAATATCCCTACAGGCTTTTTGAGGGTCAGACTCGGACATATCCCAGTCCCTGTAAACGGTCAATATATGAACCATGGGTTACCTACCGGGCTCGGGCAACAACCGTTCCTCGGGACATTGCAGACGTTACAACACGGAAAACATGCGTTAACCCTATATTCATTGCTTAAATTCTGTCATTCAAGGATGAGTTTTGAAATAACGAGACCTTCATTTCTGACACGACTTTTTAAACGCAAGCGGCACCCTAGTACAAATCTGCAAAAAAAAATTTTAAATTATAAACTTAAACCAGCTGATAACCTTTACATATAAACAGTATTAATATCATATCAGCAAATAACTCTGCAAAATATATAACGGTTTTCAGTTGTTGTTGTTTTTTATTAATCCTATTAGAGTAAGACTACCTTAAGATCATAAATAATTTAACAATTTGTAAAATGAAAATAGTCATTATAGAAATATGTAGTATTAAAGAAGTTTTCCCTAAAAGTAGTTTATTCTTCTCAGTAGTTTTTTTTTTTTGCAATCCAGTCTCAATGGTTAAACAATTTCAAGTATAAGATTGGTTTTGTTTTGCATCATTTTATTACTATTGAGTCACATGCAATGTTCATTCTCCAGCGCAGCAGCAAAAGTTAGGACCACAGGAGGCTCTTTGGCACGTGTTGTATCTGTACGTGCGTAACCCCACTTTACCCGTCTCTTCTACCTCAAGATTTTTATTGTCATACACATGTATGGATTCGAAACACTTCTTCCTATGAAAAAATAATTCACTATTGATTAAATACTGCATTTGTTGTTGTTGTTGTTGACCAATATTTTAATGACCATCGTGTTGAAATTAGGTAGTTCACACAGTAGTGTTCCCTAAAACTTTAGAGTTCAGCACTTCTATTAAAGTATGACATAAAGTATTTTCCTTGGCGGAGAAGCTGTGCATGTCCTGACAAACAGTGTGTCAAACTGTTATACTTGTTATGTTCGTTAAGTTGGCAGCCTAGCAGCCTGAAGTTGGCAGCCTAACAGCCTGGCAGCCTAAAGAAAACTAAGAATAGTACAAACATGAAAACCGTCGGAAATACATAAGTAGCACGTACTTCTTTAGATCATTCCACGCCTTTTTCAATATCGTGATCTTTATTTTTTAAGATGTTGAACTTTATCGTAACATATGTTTTTCATTCTGACGCTTCGAAATTTGTGAAGTTAGCAGCCTAGCAGGATAGTACAAACATGAAAACCGTCGGAAATGAATCGGTAGCAAATACTTAGACCATTCCACGTCTTATTTCAGTATCGCGTACTTTATTTTTTTAAAATAATTAACTTTTTTTTTTTATTTTGACACTTCAAAATTTGTGAAGTTTGCAGCTTAAAGAAAACTAAGGATAATAGAAACATGAAAACCATCGGAAATGAGTCGGTAGCACATACTTAGACTATTCCACGTCTTTTTTCAGTATCGCGAACTTTATTTTTTAAATATTGAACATTGCTTTTTTTTCTCTTTTTTTTAGTTTTGTGAAGCTAGCAGCCTAACCTAACAGCCTGGCAGCCTAGCAGCCTGGCAGCCTAGCAGCCTAAAGAAAACTAAGAATAGTACAAACATGAAAACCGTCGGAAATGAGTCGGTAGCACATACTTAGACTATTCCACGTCTTTTTTCAGTATCGCGAACTTTATTTTTTTTAAATATTGAACTTTGTTTTTTGTTGTTTTTTTTTTTACTCATCTTCGAAATAAGTGAAGTTAGCAGCCTAACAGCCTGGCAGCCTAGCAGCCTAAAGAAAACTAAGAATAATACAAACATGAAAACCGTCGGAAATACATTAAAAGCACTTCTTAAGATCATTCCACGCCTTTTTCAATATCGTGATCTTTATTTTTTAAGATGTTGAACTTTATAGACTTCGTAACATATTTTTTTCATTCTGACGCTTCGAAATTTGTGAAGTTAGCAGCCCAGCAGGATAGTACAAACATGAAAACCGTCGGAAATGAATCGGTAGCAAATACTTAGACCATTCCACGTTTATTTCAGTATCGCGTACTTGATTTTTTTAAAATAATTAACTTTTTTTTTCTTTTGACACTTAGAAATTTATGAAGTAAGCAGCCTAAAGAAAACTAAGGATAATACAAACATGTAAACCGTCTGAAATGAATCGGTAGCACATACTTAGACTATTCCACGTCTTTTTTTTTTTTTTTTTTTTTGACACTTCGAAATATGTGAAGTTAGCATCCTAGCAGCCTGGCAGCCTAGCAGTCTAAGGAAAACTAAGGATAATACAAACATGTAAACCGTCGGAAATGAGTCGGTAGCACATACTTAAACTATTCCACGTCTTTTTTTAGTATCGCGAACTTTATTTTTTAAATATTGAACTTTGTGTTTTGTTGTTGTTTTTTACTCTTGGAAATTTGTGAAGTTAGCAGCCTAGCAGCCTGGCAGCCTAGAAGCCTGGCAGCCTAGCAGCCTAAAGAAAACTAAGGATAATACAAACATTAAAACCGTCAGAAATGAATCCTGCCATCTTCAGGCTGCTAGGCTGGCAACTTCAGGCTGTTAGGCTGCTAGGCTGCCAACTTCACGAACATATACTTGTTTTTTTTTTTTTTTATTTACAATAATATTCTTTTAAGCACAGGTTATCGGCGTGCAACCAAACCCTACCCACAGGGCCCCACCTCACCCCCATACTATATTTTTGTTGGAATTGTTTGTTTTGCGTTGACCTGTATTTTGAATGGATTGAAGGATATTTGGGAAGTATAGAGGGTCCTGGGGGATGGGACCCACGCCGACAACATGTGCTTACAAGTAGCAGAGAAATCAACTTACTTCAGTTTGTAGCAAACAACATTGCAATCAACCTTTGACTTGGGAGAACAGTGGCGTCTCACGGCATACACGTTATCAGGTGACTTTGGCAGCATAGCATGACACGCGGCCTGTGCTATTGCATCTTTATAGCTTACTGGTAATGTATCTGTACCATTGAAAAAGAAATAGCATACAATATTTCCAGTTTAAACTTGTACATGTATAAGGTTTGCTATGAAAAAATGGCTTGCATTTATCACACCTAACACTTCATCCCTCCACAAGTGTGTGAAAATAGACAAGCACACTTTTTCGAAAGTAAGCACCAAAGCATAAAGTGACTGCTTTGACTGGAGACCCTTTTTACTCTGTTGATATTCGTAGTTCGTACTTTTTGTACTCAAAGCAAACCATTTTTCACTAGCCTTGTAACAAACGGATTGATCAGTGCTGAAACAATTAATTTCAGATATATGTACATATACAACTACATAAAATTGATTTCTCTGTTTTGTAAAAAAGGTACATTCTTATTTGACAATGTATAAATTTTAATAAAAGTTGCAAGAATTTAACTACTTAATAAAAATTAGATCTATATCAATATCTAAGTAATTGTTCAGTGAAAATCTTACGTTTTTTGTCGGCACAACAACAAAAGTTAGGCCCACAGCCTTGCGAAGTACACGTTTCATATTTATATGTTTCAGTATTTTTGGTCCCTTCTTTATACATTTGATTCAGTATTCCGGCACTGTATATATGTATGGCATTGTAGCAATTTTTTCTGGCAACGAAAAAACCAAACAAGATATGGTTTTAACATAGATAAATTACAGGTAAATTTTCAGTGTAGATAAGCAATTTCCAGTAATTAATCAACAATTTTGTTCGCAGTATTTGCTCTACGCACTTTGCGCATGTACTCATTTATTTCTTTTGCTATGAAAATTTCGAAACGTTATAATGTTTTATTTGCGCAGTTAAACTTACAGCAGTACACACTGACATGTCAACCAGATAATGCTAAATAACAAATATACTTGGAAACACTCACATCACTCCGACTGATTGCGTTCATCATACACATGTTCACAGTGCATGTGAACTGTTATTTATTTGTAATAATGTGTATTCTCATGTATGATATAATGTATGTATACGCACCCTATTTTACGGCACACTTCATTGCAAGATAAGGAAGACTCGGGTAAACATGATCGGCCGACAGCGTATAAAAGGTCCGGCTCTAACTTAGGTAGAATCGATGTACATATTCCTTGTGCCATCTTCGTCCTGACTCTGGTCAGATGGGCAGAACCTGCATTTGGACATAGAATCCTAATCTGATAAAAGCTGGCATGTTTCACTGACATTGGGAGTTCTCAAATTTGAAAATCGGTAAATTTCCACTGATATAAATGTGCACTAAAAGCGAAAGTAAGTCGGCCAGTAAGTTTTCAGCTTTTTCAACATTTTCTTAGAATACATTGCTATCTTTTAAACAAAATCGAAATGTTATTCTACATTTTCGGTGATCTGGTGATCTGAATTCAAACAGAAAGCTTCGAGGGCTGTGCTATATGTAATGTGTATTTTATGGTATCTCAAAAGCGTTTTGACTTAAAAAAATGCTTTACAAACTCCGATGTATGATATGGATCATTATCATAAAGTAGACGAACATGCCTAAGTCCTGAAACAGGGCGTCGTTTCTAATAATATTTCTTAGGCTTTTAGTATAATATCTTGGTAATACCAACCCGAAACACTTTTGCCCTTCGATCCAGGAATTTGTACGCGTACACCATTACTGGAGAAGAATATGCAATATTTAAAAGGACCTTTTTGTGCCCATTGTCTTCTTGGTATTTTAAGGCCTTCTACAGACGATAGGGAAGACATATTTCATTTTTTCAAATTGTTCTGATTGGTTCGAGATAATGAACCAATGTGTCGTCACCGTTAACAATGTTTGCAAATGTCTTTACAATTGGTTTGTACTGGCAAAATTTTCTATTTGGGATAAGCCATTTACCAAATCAGTGATAAAACAACACGGTCATCTTACGTTTTCTGGTCCCAGTAAATTATCAAAAGCTATGTTTCATAAAATTTATTGTCCTGTTCTTTTTTTATTATATATTTCAATATTTGAATAATAAACGTATATATGTACCATGGTCCAGGCATATATTTTTTTCTATTTCAACATACCACTTGTACGTTTCTCGTTATACTGCAGAAAATGTCTGTGAAGTATGCGGTGAAGAATGCGCGGTGTGGCATTGCTTCACAAATATGAAATTGTATATTTAAGAAATAATACCGATCTGAGCGGTTTATATCGTCTATTAAACGGTTTGCGTAGGAACTGACACTGGTTAGAAGTTCGGATAGAAATTTCCGGATATTGCGTGAGATATCTGAGCAGGGTAACAAAAAACATTTACGCTCGATGTCCAATTGTTCAGACAAGATCCAATGCATTGGTTGAACTTTTTATGATTTTATGATATTCACTTTCGCGAAAAGTGTGTTACCGTTATTGAAAGCTCAAAAAGTCTTCAATGTTCAGTTGATTTCAGTTAAAGCTATTATATGGTAAAATGTTTGATAATAGTATCAAAAAACCTCTTTTTATCATTGAATGCTGTCATTTCATTTACTTCCGGCTGTACAATTGCTGGAGTTTGGTAATAACCTTACAAAAGCCAACTGTACCTGATTAGCCGAGGCCTGATTTGTGTCAGTAAGATACAGAAAGCTTAAGTTAACGAAACCAGAGTAAATATTATCCTGGTGAAATTAAATTTTGTATTATTCTTTCAGAAAAAGTAGGCGTGTACTTTTTGTCACTGATTGGACGAATGGGCTGTTTGTTATTTTGAAATTATAATAATTATCATCAAAAGTAAAGCATTAAAAAAAGCCACAATATTGTCTGCAGAACCCTCTATAAGTTGATTTTACCCAAAGTTCGTCAAACATGTAAATCTAAAAGCAGGAATTCAACCAGTGTACTGTAGGGGCTACTTATATTGTTTATCTTACGGGGCCGCTTAACTAGATAATTACGCTTCCTTTGGGGTTTCGCTGACGACTTTACCTGTTGTCCCATTTTCATGATTTTTATGTGATTCTCAAGAGTGTACAGTAGAAAACTCACAATGAGATACTAGTATGTTATCTTCTCAGTAAAGACTGCATTCTAAAGCCAATAGAATTGAAATATTGTATAGCTCTTAAGTACATCCCAGTACCATGATAAAAAAATGCTTTTAAAAAGACTAAGAGATAAATGACTTACCTACAATTGGAAGTGCAAGTTCAAGCAGTTTAAAAATGATAAACAGGAGCTTCATTTCCGATATAACAGGAAGCAGCAGGGTTATAAATGACTTAATTACATATCGTTGAACAACGGAATTTTGCAACGTGACGTCATTTGCGTTATACAGCATAAACAAAGCGTAATGCGCGCTAATAATAGCGTTACACCATAGCGTCCACCGGAAATAGCCCTTCAAAGCATCGAATACGAGTGTAGTCGAGTTCACCCGAGGTAATGTTTCAACTTGTTTCTCCATCATAACTTAATCGATTTTTCCAAACTAAACAATAATTTTATTTTGTGAAACTGATTGTCTGGTTTTAGAGCAGTAAAATTCTATTTACTTTTTTTGCAAATTGAATACTTTTTGTTAAATTGGCGATAAATTGTAGTTTATTTGTTGACATTTGCGAGCGATGTTGATATTAACCACTAAATCAAGCCCAAAACACATTTTCTGTATCAAATCCGTATTATATACAAAATATAGAATTCCTCTACTTGTTTTGAGTGGTCACTCATCAACTCGAGCTGCTTTTACTCCTCTTAGCAAAATTTACGAAAACAATATTGCCTTGTGTACATAGTCTAGGGGGTGTAGATAGGGATGTAGTAGGTAAACGAATGCTATTTTATGCAAAAATAAACTTAAGTTCAGCATGCATGCACGCTGAATTTTGATACAGATTCAATATTGTAAAGATTTCTTGGGTGTTTATGCTTCTGTAAATGATTGTGTAGCTTTGGGAGAATGTGGTAGACTTCCATTGTGCATTGACCACCATTTCAAATGTATAAAATGAATCAAACTTTTATGTATGTCTGATATTAGATATCAAAGAAATTGTTTTTTTAATGTTGAAAGAATATGATAGTGTAGGAAGAATTAATTGGGCATTTTCTATTCAAAATTTGTTATATACACATGGCTTTTGATATGTTTAATTGAAACTGGATGTCATATTGGTCTTCCAAGGGAAGATCGTTATTGTCAATATTGTTATGTTAATTTCGATACACGATGTCTTGAATATGAATTTCATGTATTTTTAAATGTTACAAATATAGACATGAACTACAACCATTTTTATTAAACTGGTATAATGGTAGATTTGAATACGTAGATTTATGTAATTAAATGCAGTCTTCTGATGATGATAAAATAAGATCAGTTGCATTTTTGTACATGCCATTATGAAACATGAAATGTATAATAACATGACATAACTTTAATTCTAACACGACCCGCATTTTTCCCTATTGAACATAGAAGAACCGAAAGTGTGTATTATTATGCAATAGAGTCACTGTTTGACGTTCTATATTTAGACGTATGACGTAATCATTGTACATGTGACGTAACCACTATGAAATCCGACGCGCTGACAATAAGTACGGAAACAAATCAGGCGCAATTTTGCTTAATAGCAGGTACGGCAGCATTTATTTGTTTATGTCGTGTTAGAATCGAAATAATATATCCAAATCGGTGATTTTATCGCTGGATAACATCACTGTTTGTCGTTCGGATGCGCAACATTATATCAATCGGGCTACGCCCTCGTGATATAATTCCTCGCATCCGAACTCCAAACAGTGATGTTATTGAGCTATAAAATCACAGTTTGGGATATATTATTTCTTAAACATATTATGTTTTATTAGACGGCGCGTGGACAGATATGCATTTGTCAGTATAGCAATGGGGAAAAATATTAGACTTGATTTTGTGCATTTTTTTTTTTGTTTTAACAAAATCAAATTGTTTTCAAATTTTCTAATAAAAATAGCTTTTCTGATGTACAACATGTCACAGAGCTTTAAAGGATAAAAATAAACGTTTAACTGAAGTGATAGTGTAATGTTTGAATATTATATTCTTTTTATAATTATCTTATTTTATCTACCTCATAAATAACCTGCCAATGAGCCAGTCTATAGTGAGTGAGATGGAGCACCACACTAAATGCCGTTTTCCGGTATATACCGATCGTTCTAAAACCCGTTGAGACCCGTCTATAATCTAAACAAGAGGTATCACTAAAATGTGCAACAGAAATTATTTTGGTGCTACGTACACAGCGGAAATATTTTTTGAAAAACAGGCAAAACGTGTGCGGCATGTTATTCATTTAAATAATTAACATTTATGTTACAGAACAGATTAAGTGAGTGAAAAAAGTACGCTTATCTTAAAACGTATTACAAATATTTGCAATAGGTTATTTTGAAGAATTCTGTGACCGACGATTGTTCTGTTTAGCCTAGATTTTTTATAACATTTTGTGGTCCAATACCTAGATTCTAGGCGAATATGCAATCTTTTGTTAAATAATACGTAACAAATAATTGATTATATATAAGTGTGACCTTGGGGGAAGCAAACCAATTTTTGGGCTCTACACATCGTCTCATAATGGTGATCAGTTGTGCCGAGTTTTTGCAAAATATTTTCAGCTGTTTAAAAGTTATGGAGCGGACACGAAATTTAAAGTTTTTTAACACTTGACCTTCAAGTGGGACCTTGACCTTGGGGAAACAACCCAATTGTTGCGCTCTTCATATCGTCTCATAATGGTGATCACTTGTGCCAAGTTATTAAAAAAATGTTCAGCAGTTTAAAAGTTATGGAGCGGACACGTAAGTGTTACGGATGGACGGACAGGCAGATGTGCCAACATTTTGGGTTTATGTGCTTTTCTTTGATCTTTATGTGGTACTTTTCCACATAAACCAGTAAAATTTTCACAGGAACCAGTCAGTCTATGGGATTTCCTTCCTTTTAAGATTACGAACGAAATGAAGCTTATAGACCTTTAGATGTTTGCCTGGATGGACGGACGACGAACGGACAGAAGGACGGACGGACAGACTGAGCATTTCTGATAAAGAAAAAATGATCTTTCTTTCTTTTTGAGTAAACGGTTAACACTTCAAGTTCTATCAACTTGATTAAATAGTGCCAAAACAGCAGGAATTAATATTTACACACAATCAGCGAGTAAGGAAATGACAAAGGCTGTTATTATGTGGTAATTCAATTATGATAACAGCCGTCAGTGAACTAATAGTTTGTGTATAAGTCGTAAATAACACAATAAAGAATAGAATAGAACTACTAACAAACCACTTTAACGACGATGGTTAACAAGAAGCGATTGAACAAACTTTGGTATCTTAATTCTAGTTTTAACAAATTGCTTCCTAAGGTATTGTAATATATGTATGACATGGCCCATTACGAAATGTTACGTCTTGATATATGTCACAATTATACACGTTATATTCTAACATAGCATAATCTTTAGTAGGTTCAAATTTTTGTAGAGGTCCACTTGACAATTTAGGTTCTTTGTATTAAATGTATTTTCCTAAATTAACTTTTGTTAAGTAAATGAATCCTAGGGTGGAGCCAATTTAGACCCGAAGGGAATGGTTTATATGATTTTTGTAGGAGACAACAAGGTGATGCCAAATAAATAAGTTCAGGGCATTGTAATTACTGAAAAGAGGATTTTCAAAGATTCCATTTTCGAGTCAATTTTAAGCTTTTGTGGCCTACTTATGGATCATACTGGAACCATCTATATAACTGTTGTAGAAAATAACCTAAGTATTATTCCTTTGAAGTTTGGTCAAAATCCATCGTGTGGTTTAGGAGGAGATTTTGTTATAAGAAATTGTGGACACTGACGGAAGACGCACGACGGATAAAATGAAGTCACAAATACTCTGTCCACAAAATGATACTCAAGTATTTAAAATTATCATTCTTCCCTAGAATATATCGACTTGTTTCCGCACATAATCTCTCGCATGATATTTAACTAGCGTATTGTAAAAATGCATATAAATAAATTCTTTGAACATTAACAACATACACCATTTAAGATAGGATTTTATTGATCGTGCCAAGTGATGAAAAACAAGTAAGCAAACAAAATCAAGTTTTGGCTATTTCATTTTTATCCCATATCCCCTTTCTATACCCGCAGTACAACTAAGATCTTCACCGGTTGTAAAAGTTGCATCAGCTGCTAAAAATAGGCATGCCATTCCGATCTCACGTGGATCTGCAAACCGTCGCAGAATCTGAAAATACAACAACAATAAATACTATCATTGACCAGAACTGTTTAAAAAATGAAATCTTGAAATAATGAATTAAATTGGTTCATGCTTCTCCACATATTCTGGTCATAGAAAGTACTAAAAAAACAAAAGATTTAGTATATTATGTTCACAATGAAAGTGTTGGTAAAAAAAGAATACATTTTGCACTATAATCTAAATAATATTCATTGTTTTTCTCCTTTTTTTCCTTTAAAAAAGCCAACATTACAGCGATCTACTGTCATACTATTTTCTCATCACGTAACAATTTTCATATTTATACACAGTAAGTTAGCTTTAGTATTCACAGAAAGAATTATTTTAAAGTAATTTAGTCAAAACAGTTTTTAGTCAAAACATATTTTCTAACTAACACTAATATCTTTTATTTGTTCCATCTCTCCTTTTTCTGCTGTTTTTGCCCATTCTTCGAATAAAGGAGTCCAAACACATCCAGGCGATATCCTTAAATATATACATTAAGAGTACAATATGTTTTGTTTTTTTTTGTTTTGTTTTGTTTTGTTTTTTTAAATCCACGATTTTGTCATTATTGCACATTAATACAAAACAAATAAGAATAAATGCAAACATGGCAATTTTACAAATGCAAAAAGGCAAAATAACTCTTATAACATTGAAAACAGATAATTATTCTTCTGACTTTTTAATGATGCTCATCCATTTCATATTATTCACATTTGTTGATTTAAGCCAAAACAAAATTTAGCTGATTCTAGCAATCATGACACACAATATCGTAATTAATTTAGTAACCTCTACTCACGAATTCACTCGAACACCATGCCTTCCTTCATCTGTTGCAAGGGCACGTGTCATTCCAACAATACCACCCTACAAAAGTAACATTCTATACTTCACGCCATACAAAAATAAATCCACTGAGCCTTACACGTTGAACTTCGTGGTATTTCAATGAATATAATTATTGGATCACCTGATATGATATGATATGGAAAGATATGAAGGGCATGACATGACATACCAAAACAAATAACGTAAAATAACATTATATAAATATTACAACATTAAATACGATATCTTGCTATAACAAGACATCAATTTATGATATTGCATACCAAATAACATGACATATTTAAACAAATAACATAACACATTCCTATTATGATTACACATTACATCATTACATACAATAAAATGTTTTTACAACATAACAAAACATGACATAAATCTACCATAACAAATATTGTGACATACGTTAGCAAATAACATAACATAACAAAATGTAACGTATCATAAAAATCACTATCATTATAACATATTACAACATTCCATATAACATGAGGGTAACAGGACAACAAAACATTACAAAACGTAACCAATATAAATAAAGAGCAAAAAAGCGTATCATTACGTTTTTAACATTAGATAACATAACAAATAACACATAATTAAAACGTATTATAGTAAAAATAAAATCAATACTAGTATATCGTTACAGAAAAAAGAATATAGACAGGGAGTCTGGACTTTTCAAGACTTTAATAATCAAAGGAACTCCACATAAAACATTAAATTTGAAATTCTTACATAGGTTATCTGATACACACAAATGAGAAAAAAATATGTAAAGTATTAATAAAGAAATTTACTCATAATAAGATTGTAACTCGACTTTTTATGCAATTCTGTGCTGGCATTGAGTTAAAAACCGATTAAACGCTTTTAATTTTCATGCCATTTTGCAGAACTAAAATAATAATTCTAGGACACGGAGCGAGGGACTGATCTGACATTTTGTACACTGACCTTCATCTTTTGGTACACAAATCTGGGAATTATATTACCAGTCCTGTTATGTCTGGTTACCCCGTTGTAAGCATTACTTAGTCATAATATATATAGGACTTAGATTACCATAAACTTTTTAATAAGGATAAAAGGAAACAGATCAAATTACCTTTGTAGCAACATACGTCACTGCGTCAGGTTGACCGACCGTGAAAGCGCCACTAGATATATTTACTACTGAACCCTTTGTCTTTCGAATATATGGTAAAGCAAACTGAAAACAAACTATGCTCTGTTACGGAACTGGTCAACTAATGTTTGCAAACATATCGCAAACAAGTATCTGTTTCTCAAGCAATTACAGCTATTTAAAATGTACCTTTTCTGCAAATGTTTTCAAAAATGTATTCATAAATAAACTTCTTTTAAGATAAATAACATATCTTTGAGGCAATGAATCAGGCTACTGCATTTATAATATTCGTGTAAATTACTGAAGAAAGATGCACAATGTAGTCTTCGCTACGATTGAAAAATATATTTATAAAGAAACTCTACACAAATAAGTGTAGGCATATGTGGCTTTACCTTACAAGCAAGGAAGTATCCTATAAGATTTAAGTCCAACAACTTTCGAAATTCCTCTGACGAAAACCCATCAATAGTTCTTGCAGGTGGGTCTACAATAGGAAACGAAATTACAAGTTGACGTAGCCTCAACATTGATTCTCACGTATTGTGGTAATAACTATGTTTGTGTTAAATCACAGTGTCACTGCGAGATCCCATCGTTACTTTTGCTAGAAAGATGTCCCTTGATGTCCTTTCAAGTATCATTTCACCGCTGTTGACTATTTCTCATATATTTTATCTTTTAATATACAAGTAAAAATAAATTTGTTAATTGAAAAATAGTTTTTTAGTTATAACTATATTTTTAACGTTGCAAAAGCCGATTTAAAAGCAAGAAAATCACAACATTTTGGGCATTTGGATATACATCATCAAAACATCCTTAGGTGTGGTAATATAATTCCATAGTCTTATCAAAGCATATAAATAATTGCAAATAATTTGTATGAATTTAAGGGGTTTAATTTTACATGTTTCTTAACTTTAAAAGATTAATCAGTACCATATTTGTTCTTGTTTGTTTATTCAATAAGTTACCATAATAAATTTTAATAAACTTACGCCATCCAGCATTGTTCACTAGACAATCTATCTTCTGGAATTTATCAATCGTGGCTTCAACTGCTGCCTGGTTTATGAAATAATATGAAAGTTAACACATAAATTTTTTTATCGTATGACTTTGATATTTAATGTTTGAACTTCAAACGGCTAGTCTAATATCACATTTTTACATAATTGTTTTTTTTAAATATGTTTTACATTTATTGTTTCAAAACCTTTTACTTTTATAGATGATAGTGTCGATTGTTATTTAGTAATTCAGTGCATATCACTGTAAAGCGCCTTTGAACGTGTATATAAATTTGGTAAATAAATAATTATATTAATGCAATCTTTTCTTTTGGTATAGCAGTTTTGCTACTTTATGCCTAACTTCTAATTCATAAGTATTACTTGCAGTATTAAATATGTGCTCTAGGTTTGAATAAATATCATGTTAATGACGCTGTGGCATTTATAACAAACTAAAGTTTGAAAGTGTTAGAAATCTCTGTAATGATTATTAGAATTCTAAAACTTTGTAAACATGTAGTTTGTAAGAATTTTTCAGACAATAATCACAAGGATATTAAAAGTTGTTCCTTTTACATGTATAGTCTAAATATATTTTGATGATATGGAAGCAACCGGCTTTTCAACTCAGTTGCTTTAAATCGTAACATCATAATATCTGCTTGTAATATTGCACTGTCTGTGTTCGCTTTGAATTATTTAATGAAAGTCACTAGTTATGTTTGAACACTTGTAGATCTATATAAGAAGGTTGTACAAAAAGTAATAGGACTAAGAGACTTGCGTATTCATATTCCATTAAATTAAGAACATTTTCATATGTACGGCAATCATAAATTTGTTAAATTATTAAGCTAATCGCGTGTTCCCTGTGATATTGAATAACCATGGTAACACACAACCGGCGAACCCGGCGCAATGCATCAACAAATTTTTGAAGTTAAGTTGTACTTATAGTTTATTCATAATTTATTGTCTATTTTCCATATATTGCACCAAACCATTTAATAATATATAAGTGATATTATGTACACATTTGACGTTATTCAGACAAAAAATGGTTAACTTATCAAGTTTTAAACAGCAGTGATCATAGCGTTAAATGTAGAAATATGACGTTCGTTGTAAATCAGAAAATCTGTGCGATCGTTAAATTTGCCAACAGATAGCATTGGTCCTTCAGCTACATACGAAAAAAACAAACTCGGGACAATTACTAGGCCATCAGGGCACTGATTTGCCAGTTACGTTAGTGACGTCAAATGAAAAAGCGCTACATACTCGTAAGTATCGGCTGACTGTCCGGCATGTTTGATGACTGCATCTGGTCTACTCATTCAGTTCTGACCAAAATGTTGAATTTGAGAAATGTGTTTTAACACTTTTTATTATATTGACCAAGATATACGTGTTATCAATTAATCAATATAATAATGATACACGGTAATTATAAGTATCATTTCCTCCGATTTTGTTTTTAACTAATGATAGCCTGTGCTCAGTACAAGATATAATTTTCAATTTTAATGTACTCTACATGACCATGTTCCGATATTTGTTTCTTGTAAAATTGTGTACAGTAGTATAGGCATATCTTTAAATGTTAACAAAGTAACGCTATCTTGGATGTTCTTGTTACTATTTACAGTGACTCATTCGTATATAAAAATGACCTCGGTACACAAACGCGGCGACTTATTTGGAGTTTATTTAAAGACTAACATGAAGTGTTGTTCATGCAAAGACTGATCAAACAAAGAGAACAATGACGTTGTTTCTAAAAATTACATCCAAGTTCCCGTATATAGCTAACTAATCAGGAGAGACGAGACCTTGTTGTACATGAATATAAGACGGAGGAACACTAACGCTGGTCATAAGAGTTCTGACTCTCGACCAAGAATCATGGCTAGTTATAGATGCAAGTTTAGTCTCGGTAATCAGAGGTATGTGCAAGTCAATGAATGGAAAGGCGATCTTGAGTCGATATTAGAGAATGAATGGATGACAAACTTACAAAAAGGGGCATCAGCTTAACGTTAATGTGATGGAAAAACCTGGTAGTTCAGTTACAATATGCGGACAGGGCAGCTTTAGTAAACAAAACAAAGTTGTTTGACCCATGTTGGAGGAAATGTCTGATGTAACGTCGCCGAAAATAGCGTCTGTTTGACTGGAAACCAGAAAATTACGTTGTACCGACCAAAATAGGAATTTGTTTGAGACCGAAAGAGTAATCCTGTTTAAAGGAACTGGTTTCAGAGATTGGGATAGTGTTGACCGAATTAGACGCAGTAGTGTCCTATTACCTACATAGCAATCATATGAACCAGATAGGAGCCCTACTGTGCGCAGAGTGCAACCCCAACGATTGCGGAATCTGGTGTAATCGCGTGACTATTATTTACAATGGCAATAGTCTATAAATAGATCGATAATGTCATTCAAAAAATAACATCCGATCAGAAATCGAACTGCGTGTCTATGAATTGAGCGCTTGGGTAAGTTCAGACATCGCTTTGAGACATTACAAGTGGTCGCATAACTGTGAATATATAAGAATAGGTGGTGCTCATCAACAGAAACCAACCCCAGTAGGCGGATTCGGCGGTTTTGGTTTTGAAGCATCAGTCTGACATTCTTCTTTTAGAGTAGGCGCATTTAGTGCAAGTACGAAGGATCAAACGAATAAATTATGTTAACGTTTAGTATGAATTTGCTTGAACGTGTTGTGAAATGCTATCAGTTTAAACGCGAGGCAGTAGAACACTTAATAAACATTTTTGAAGGCTATATAGAAGAAACCAGAACACATATTATGAAATCGACTGTATTGTGATATGTACTGGATAAATTTGCTATAACTTAATTTGTAAGAATGTGTATTTGTATTTGTTGTCAATAAGCAGCATGATTTTCTTCTTAGTATGTTAACACTTCCAACCTAGCTATTCTGGTGTAGAACAAATGAATCATTTGGTTGAGTCAGAGGGAAAATATAAAATCGGGAGGCATAAATCCGAAAATTGCTTCAAAGTCAGCAAGCTTTTTCCCTGACTACAGGAGACAAAAGGAAATTTTTCGCGTCATTGTAGAATGGATAGATAGTTAATGGGATATAGACTTAATGGATATGGTTGACTTGGCCAAACATTATGACGGTTATAAATACGTTTAAGTGGCATAGTAGATTTTTTTCTCGCTTTGTCTATTGTGAACCTATCAAAACCAAGAAAAGTGGCGATGTTATTACATTAGAGTGTATCTTATCTGGTCCTAGAAAACCAAATACGGTGAGAATAGACCGAGGCATGAAGTTTACAAGCAAAAAGGCTTATAAGTATCTTCAGCAAATGGAAATTCATCATTTCTATGCTTTAAATACGGAGAAATAGTGAACTGTGTGGAGATATGTATCAAAACGCTAAAGCATTAACCGATAAGATATATGACGAAAAAACCGAACCGAACGTTATCTTGGCCTGCTCGGAAATATTGTTCTTTCATATAACTCAACTATACATAGAAGCCTTGGAGAAAAAAAAGCAATAAACATAATTTAAGAGTCAGAAGGAGAAAGCATACTTCAGTAGTCCTTACTTAGGACCAAAGGCAGGTTAACCAAACACAAGGTCAGACACCACAGGTTTAAAGTAGGTCAATCAGTACGAGTATCACACGTGAAAAGCGTGTTTGACAGAGATTTGACTGGCGAAATATTCAAACGAGACAATGTATGCATATATACCTTAAAATACTGCGCCAATGAAGTGAATGAACAAGAATTGCAGACAGCCAGTGTTGATCAAAATATAGAATACCACGTTGAAAAAGTATTTAAGAAAAGGACGCGAAACAAATAAAAGGAAGTATTAGTTCGTTGATTGCATTGGCCAAAGAAATTTGGATCTCAGAAAAAGACCTGACACAGTACTCTTAAGTCCGACCCAGTACTCTTTAGTCACGTGATCATTCTCGTATATTAAGCAGATATTAACAACAAAAATGTCAATGATGATATTGAGATTCGAGACTTCGCATCATGATTATCATCAACGTTGTGTGCAACGCTAACCAGGACTATTCCATGGACCTGAGGCATTTATGCTATCATATAAGCTCATATAAGCTCGTTATGATCCAAAAACATTTCCCGGACCGGTTTGCAACACAAAACCTTCGGCGGTAATTGCATAGTTTTCTTCAGTGGTGTTATTAGTTGTAATGGTAAGGCATCCAGTGTTAGAGGAACGTCAAAGACTTCGTCAATATGCAGAACGTATACAGCGTCTCGGATTAACATTGATAGATCATATTTTTAACAATATCCGCTAGTCACACCTTATGAACCGCGTTAGATTTACAGTTGTTGGCGATAGAAAGAGTGGTCGTTCATAATCCCGAACTGTTCCCCTCCCAACATTTTTAAAATAAATTAGTCCATTTTGTTTTTTTTCACAGCCGTAAAGTGGTAATAACTGGTATCAAAAACCTGTCACAAAAAGATGATGAAGTCTACCCTGTACTCATAGGACTGGAACGTTTCACACGTAAGAAAGAATGAGCGCCTAGAGAACTCAACCATGAACCAGTCTCAAGTGTAGCGGAAACTGAAATTTCTTTTTCAGTTATTAAAAGATGCCTCTGTCGCTGCCAGAAAAAAAAAAAACATAATCACTAATATAACAGGGATTCAACGTGACAAAAACAGAAAACATACGTGAAAATAATGAAATAGTAATTACACTTTTTGAAACAGCATTGACACCATTTGAAACAGACCCTACAATGTGTTCTCCGCAGTTTAATTCGTCGGTTAATGCTCCTGGATACTCGCCAAGATTAGGATCATACTGTCCTTCTCGACTCACATAAGTCACACTGTCTATATGGTAATACAACATCCGTTTGTCTAATGATTCCAACACACTGTATAGTTTAAAGCTACATTAAATTGAATTTCAAATGAAAATGTAGCGACATAGATGTCGATTTTGATTTTGTCTGGTTGACATTCGGTTTTGTATATGATCAAGGGATTTTAGGCCCTTGGGAAATAATTACCAGATCTGCATATCCATTAAATATGTGATTGTTTTATTTCCCTTTTCTTTTCAAATGTGTCAATATCTTCCTTTTATGATTAAATCTATTGATTTACTTGTATGTAAACAGACATTTCTGTGAAGTCATATTCCATCGTGACTGTCACAGAATTTATTAGTTTTGTTATCTAAATATATTTAAATCTTGGATTTTCATTTATCAGGTATGTTACGTTACTTATTTATCACTATCTACTATTTTTCATTCAATGTTTCACTGTAACAAATATGTTTGTTTTTTAATCTTAAACTGTGTCTCTCAAGTATGTTTTAATTCTATAATTTGCGCAATTTTCTTTTCATATTATATGATCATGTCATTTTATATTAATTGATTGTAACTTAGATAACTGAGATCTTGGAATATTTCTTGTCATTGAAGTAAATAAAATTGTCATAGGATAATGTATAAAGTTAAGTTTTGCTTCATAAGATATGTTAGATTTAAGTTCTTAACTTAATATATTTATTTAGAAATAAAATATTATTGTTTTATATTTTTCATAAATGGTTTCATAAGTAATATTATATAAATAATTTATATTAATATAGCTGGTTTTTAATATTCAAATCAGCTCTTTTTCATCGCTATGTAAAAGTTCATTTCATAAGTATCGGTTGTTAAAGATTTTTAACATCGACCAAGATTTCGGTATCTTCTCAAATACAAAGTGAGTTATTGTTAAATTCTCCGTCAGTATTTGGTAATTTAAATATTACTGAATAATTATTATAATTATTGATAATGTCTTGTTATATTAAAAAAATTCCATCTTAACTATCACATAAACTATTTCTGTTATTCAAATTTAAATCTTGGTTTTTCATTTATCAGTCATCCAGCATATCTCCAAAAGTAACGCACATCCAAACATCAGTATAACAGAACATACAAAATACAGCCGGTCTTACAGGCCTTTAAGGCAATGATCGGTTCATTTAATATGAGGATGGAGAAGATCATTATTTGACTTCTTAACAAACGCGAGCTAAAGCTCAGCTTTAAAGATAAAATTAAATGAAATGAGATCGAGTGTGTCAATACACCCTGGCCTGCTGTATTGTTATTATTATACAGGATTTGCAATTGAAAACAATGTTCTCCAATTAGTTGTTTTTATTTCATATGGTCACAAATTTGGGTTTCAACGTGGTAAAACATCACAATTTTGAACAGGTATAAAATTCACGCCATTACTACAAGAACAGTAATGATATGTCTTTTCTGCTGTTTTTTTCTATAATTTTACTTGTCAATCCAAAAAGATATGCACATTCCTGTTGCCATTTGAGTCCGTGATTGACTTTGGGTTTTAAAAGACAAAATGCACAAGTTCGTAAATGTATGTAGATTTTAGTGTTTGGTAGATAGGTGGTTTCGTAGATAGATGATAATTCTCCTGGGAACTCCTAGGTCAAAATGTGTATAACCATAACATCTAGGGTTGTATTCATGTAAAAGTAAAATGTCCATTTCGGTAAATGAATTTTTTGTGTCATATATCAGGTGTTGTAATGAACTGACAACCTATAAAATAAAATGAAATGTAAAACAAAAACATGTAGTTTGTTTTAAATATTCGTTTCAATATAATTCCAGTTGTTGCGCTACAGAAAAATATTAAATAAAATACAATACGTAAATTATATATCGTTTATAATATGATGTAAACAGTATAGTTGCTGCGTCTAGTATACCGATACCGGTTAATTTCACTTTTTGATAAAGTTACTGCTATATATTGGCTTTTATCGATATCGATGTTTTGTTCAGGTAGAATCTTTATTTTAGTTCCAAGATGCCACATGTCAAATTAAAAACGGACTGTAGCGGTGATTTATAAACGTTGTTGCTAAACACTGAAGGTGTAACTAAGGACAGCACAATTTTGGTTGTTAAGTATCCTTGCTCATAGAAAGAAGCTCGGTAGACTTAGAAAATTTCGCTATCAACGCGCGAAGAAAAATCTGACAGTCTTATTGCTTGTGCAAAGTTCTGTACATTTTGGCTTTTTTATCCTGTTTAATTCGCATATTTTTTATACAAATAAATGTGCTTAAGGTAACATGAATTTTAGGGGGGGGGAGCATGACAAGCCTATAAGGAGTGTATGTATTTACCAGTATGCGGTTTTAATGCATAACTAATTAATTACATTTCTTGACTTCAGTATACTATGATTGAAATTACTTAGAATTTCGTGTTGTAAAATACGATATAGATTGCACAGGATGCAAAGTATCGATAAAAACGAGATGTTCCATACTACATCTCGTATACATACCTAAAGGTATATGAAGCTGTAACGACTCAATTAGAGATGGACACGTTGAAGCGATAACGTGTCGAAGCTTGTAGGATCAAATATGGTTTAAGCTCGTGAGGTCATTCCTAATATGCAAATAAAAATTTAAGTAACGAACAATATGGCCGCCGCGCAAGAAGAAATAATGCATTTATGACAAAGGTCATTTTTTCGCTTGACGCCCAATGGGAAACATCGTCAATAAAAGTAATATTTCCGGTTTTAAACGTTCTTTAATATAAAATGGACTTTGTTTATTTGAAGCCCATTTCACAGTTTGCCCTTTCTTCAAATGATAATCATCTAAAAAGATCTAAAACCATAACTTAATTGGTATAGGACTTTTTTCTAAAGATGAAAAAAAATCTTTGGTTTCCCAGGCATAATGTGCCTTTAAACCTAAATTAACATTAAAACTCGTTTACCTTTATTTGTTCTTCTTTTGTCATATCGCAGTGTATATAAAACACCTCTCCGGGACCCTCGGGCTTCATCGTCTCTCCCACAGCATCTGTTGAATAAAAGCTCAATCAATAATGGTATTTTCTTTAAACATTGCTTGTTTTATATTACTTTTACGTTCAAGAAGACCAAAACGCTCTATATTGAGAATAGCAAACAGGACATTCCTCGCTATTTTACAAATTGTAGAAACTTCCATGATAGGTTATGTTATTAAAGGCACTCAACTGAGGATACTGAACATGTTTCTTCGAGATCTGTTTACTACTTGATGAACATCTGGACTAATAAATTGAGCGCAAATTTTCAGATCATTCGCTCACCCTGTTTCTTTCCAAAACAATCATTGTTATTATGCAATTGATCTACAAATAAAAAAGCTTTTAAATACTTTGAACTAAAATCGGGTTAAGACAGGCACAAAAAATCGATTTCAACTGATATTCTGACTTTCTTTAATATCTTTGCATATTGTTTTAAATGCATGAGTCAATCTTTGTAATATTTTTCTTAGGATTTGAACCTCAGTAAAATAAAAGCTTTAAGTTTGTAATATTTTATTATAAATAAAATATGGAAACGTAAAGAAATGTTTTACCATCAATATCAAACACGGCAACTTTGGCTCCATTTTCAACTGAAAAAAAAAGAGAAAATTTAATGAAACTGTCATTTAAATATAATTATTTAAGATATTTTACTTAGTTGAGTGCAATATGAATTATATTGGATTTTTATACAGCATTGGATTCGGCTAGCAGGTTTGACAGCTGTTTACTTGTCAAAGAGAATCAGTCTTGTATATAAAACTGTCTTACACTTATTTTACGTGTGATACAATATGAATTTGATATAATAATAATAATAATAATAATAATAATAATAATAATAATAATAATAATAATAAAATTAATAATAATAATAAATGATAAAAAAATAATAATAATAATGTCTTTTCTACCAGTATGGTGCCAAGCAAGCCTGCATTTCTGCGTAGTTTTACCCGGCTCAATAAATTAAGTTTTCTGTAATTTTGTTGTAATCAATGCTTCCGAGGGATCACATTTTCTCCAAATTTTTATACTTCACAACAGCAGGTGTCAAGTGTTATGTGGCAGCTGTAAAAAGTTGCCCCGTACATTAACTTCAGTGTTGCTATATTTTTCTGGTCCTTCGGGATCATTGATTCCAGCACATTTAGTGTTGAAAATTGAGTACGGCTCAAGCCGGTGCTAGAAGGCGTAAGGGATGTTGCCCTGAATCATTATTTCTTCATGTACAGACTCAATCAAACCGAGTCTGCAATTTTCATGTAACAAACCGAGTCTGTAATTTTCATGTAATTTTGTAGTAAGAAATGCTTCCGAGGGATCACATTTTCTCCAGATTTTGATATTTAAAAGCTTATTTTTCAAACGAACTTTTCTCAATTCAAAGCTTGTATAATCCAATATATAAATTCAACAGATAAAGGGTGAAGTGTTCTATATTTAGTGTTTTAAAACAGAAAATATTCGTCCCGCGGTTTACAGCTCCCCCATCTGTGGTATCTTTCAGCAATCTTTCAGTGTTATCTACATAAAGCATGTCACTGACACAATGACGTGACATTCAACATCCAGTCGTATTATCTTGACCAAGACATTGTTTGATGTTGTACACATTTAAATGGTCATATGTACGACTCGTCATAGGATAAAACCCGACACCGACAGATGCCCAACCAACACTCTAAAATAATTTGCCTTTTAAGCACCAGCAATGTGTAAAGTTTTCCTCCATCACGAAAACTCCCATGCAGATAAAAAATTGCCACTGCATATATAAGATTTTAGGACCGGCTGAGAAAGTCCTCAAATTCAATATCCCATGCTCTCTTCCGATGTTGCCCTGAATCATGGGGACAAATGGCAGGTGATTATACACGTGTTCAGCCCTATGTTGATATAATTCATACAAAATGAAAATAGGTTTTTTTTCCAAATCACAGGTTCAAGTTGTTACTTAAATTTTTATATAGAATGATGCTGTCCGTAGCTGTAACTTTGTTGAAAATTTCCTCTGGACTTAATGCTATAATCAGTAAATATGCAAACTGCGAACAAGCAAACAAGCAACTATATTCCGAATATTTGAAAAATTATGGTATAAAATATGCAGCTATAAATGATTAAGTTCCACTTTTTTCTCTTTTTTCCCATTCACCGTGGAATACACAGTATAGAATGTGTATATTTAAGAAAGATGTTACATAATGCTAAAAGTAAACTTACCGAATATATCAACGCAACCTCTTCCTATGCCCTTACAACCACCAGTTACAATAGCAACTTTATCCTGAAACCGTAAATTTGAAGCCATGTTCCTTATCTAATTGATTGTTTAGTTATATCTTGTCAAACATCAACATTTAATTTTATGTCCAAAATAACTTGAAATTTCGTTATCTCACACAAGTGTGTATTACACGTTATCCGGTCAAAAGTTCACGACCTAGTCGTTCATTTTAATGCAGTGAGTGCACAGTAGATAAAGTAGCTTAAACAGTTTAATGTGTACTTCAATCAACTTTCTCGTCTGCTACTTGGGAACTTGATGCTTTCATGTATAGTTGTACAGCCATTTTTAAAGCATTCAGAATAACATATGAGCCGCGCCATGACAAAACCAACATAATGGGTTTGCGGCCCGCGCAGTCTGATCAGGATCCATGCTGTTCGCTGTCAGTTTCTCTACTTGTTATAGGTTTTGTAAGCGAACAGCATGGATCCTGATCAGACTGCGTGGATGCGCAGGCTGGTCTGGATCCATGCTGGTCGCAAACCCATTATATTGGTTTTGTCATGGTGCAGCAGCTCATATATATTATTTCTTTTTTTAATTCCACGATGCAAACACAAGAGCGATCAGTAATCACATGTGTCGCCTCATGATGGCCAATTTCATGTTGGGTCAAATTTTGTGACAGACGGACGGACAGACAGACAGACAGTGCACAACTAGACTTGGTACTGATCATTCCTGTAAAGTTTGGATAAAATTGCACCAGTAGTTAATGAGGAGTAGTCCGGACAAGCTTTTGGCGTATCTGGCAACACACAGAAAAAAACACCTTTTTATCAAAGGGTCATAACTCGGCCAAAAATCATTCAACCGGAAAACCCGTGCAATATGCACAAGGACTTGAGCTACAGATCAATCCTGTAAAGTTTCATTGAAATTGCATTAGTGGTATAAGAGAAGTAGTCCGGACAAACTTTAAAAATAAAAATTATTAAAGGGCCATAACTCTGACAAAAATCATTGAACCGGAAAATGCTGACAATATGCACAACAAGACTTGGTACTGATCATTCCTGTGAAGTTTGGATAACATTGCACCAGTAGTTTATGAGGAGTAGTCCGGACAAGCTTTTGTGTATCTGGCAACACACAGAAAAAAACACCTTTTTATCAAAGGGCCATAACTCGGCCAAAAATCATTCAACCGGAAAACCCTTGCAATATGCGCAAGGACTTGAGCTACAGATCAATCCTGTAAAGTTTCATTGAAATTGCATTAGTGGTATAAGAGAAGTAGTCCGGACAAACTTTTAAATTAAAAATTATTAAAGGGCCATAACTCTGACAAAAATCATTGAACCGGAAAATGCTGACAATATGCACAACAAGACTTGGTACTGATCATTCCTGTAAAGTTTGGATGAAATTGCACCAGTAGTTTATGAGGGGTAGTCCGGACAAGCTTTTGTGACGGACGGACAGACAGACAGACAGACAGACGACGGAGAAGTGATCCCTATATGTCACCACTACTCCGTAGAGGCGACACAACAAGAGCGATCAGTAATCACATGTGTCGCCTCATGATGGCCAATTTCATGTTGGGTCAAATTTTGTGACAGACGGACAGACAGACAGACAGTGCACAACTAGACTTGGTACTGATCATTCCTGTAAAGTTTGGATAAAATTGCACCAGTAGTTAATGAGGAGTAGTCCGGACAAGCTTTTGGCGTATCTGGCAACACACAGAAAAAAACACCTTTTTATCAAAGGGCCATAACTCGGCCAAAAATCATTCAACCGGAAAACCCGTGCAATATGCACAAGGACTTGAGCTACAGAATCAATCCTGTAAAGTTTCATTGAAATTGCATTAGTGGTATAAGAGAAGTAGTCCGGACAAAACTTTAAAAAATAAAAATTATTAAAGGGCCATAACTCTGACAAAAATCATTGAACCGAAAATGCTGACAATATGCACAACAAAGACTTGGTACTGATCATTCCTGTAAAGTTTGGATTAACATTAAACCAGTAGTTTATGAGGAGTAGTCCGGACAAGCTTTTGTGTATCTGGCAACACACAGAAAAAAACACCTTTTTATCAAAGGGCCATAACTCGGCCAAAAATCATTCAACCGGAAAACCCTTGCAATATGCGCAAGGACTTGAGCTACGATCAATCCTGTAAAGTTTCATTGAAATTGCATTAGTGGTATAAGAGAAGTAGTCCGGACAAACTTTTAAATTAAAAATTATTAAAGGGCCATAACTCTGACAAAAATCATTGAACCGGAAAATGCTGACAATATGCACAACTAAACTTGGTACTGATCATTCCTGTAAAGTTTGGATGAAATTGCACCAGTAGTTTATGAGGGGTAGTCCGGACAAGTTTTGTGACGGACGGACGGACAGACAGACAGACAGACGGACAGACAGACGACGGAGAAGTGATCCCTATATGTCGCCACTACTCCGTAGAGGCGACACAAAAATGATATATTCAAAACATTTTCTTAATAGATCTATAAGTAATCAGATTTAAAGTTTTGAAGTTTGAAAATTGAGAGGCTGCGTAACATTTTGAGCCATCCATAGATTACAAGATAACCTTTGTAGGTGCTGTTAAATGTTCTTTTGAAATACTTATTTTTTAATATTTTATTATGTTGTTTGAGTTTGTCTTTTTTCTGCAAACTCTAATGAATGTCGCGATTTTCAAGAAAACTGGAGCTAACAGTGTGATAATACTTTGATGATGACACTAAAGCTTTTAGATTATATCAAAACTATGGTCGTACTTTCGTGGTTTCGTTATTTCGACTTTTCATCATCGTAATTTCGTGTTACCGCAAGTTTCGAGCTATGTGTGTACCGCGATGGCCGTAAATACACAGAATTAACGTTTATTAATATAAATCTTATTTACTGTATCTTTGTGAGATAAGCAATATCAAAAAAAAAAATGGTATTATTAGTTCTTCTTACATAATATATATTGTCTGTAAAATATAGCTAACAATATGTGGCCCTTTTATGTTAAAGTGAATTGATCTATACTGGAAAGTATGATATACAATGAATAATTACGTTGGTAGTATTAAGTATCATACATGAGAAGAAACCATGAGAGAATTATACATATATGAGCCGTGTCACGACAAAACCAACATAATGGGTTTGCGACCAGCATGGATCCAGACCAGCCTGCACATCCGCGCAGTCTGATCAGGATCCATGTTGTTCGCTTACCAACCCTATTACATGTAGAGAAACTTATAGCGAACAGCATGGATCCTGATCAGATTGCGCGAATGCGCAGGCTGGTCTGAATCCATGCTGGTCGCAAGTTTTGCCGTGACGCGGCTTATATATTGATGATGCTGGCGTGAGATACATGATCCGTTATTACATATATTTATTTTACATATAATAAAATGTTCTGGAACAAAATATTATTATTCATCATATGATTGCTCATACTAATTCACTTAGAATTTTATATCAACTTTTTTTTCAAGTTATATTATACATGTATAAGATATCTAAATGATACATTTTTATTGTTATTATTAATATTTGGAAAAACTTATGGAAAATGTGATCATTATAGACCAATTAACTTTAAGCTTATGAGGCCGCATCTTATATGGATGTTGGTCTGGAAATCCAACGTAACCATTCCGCACCATATCCAAAAATTCTGATGCGATTAAGAATGTGACACATCGTTGGCACATCCACTGGCACATGTGCTGGAACAATATATTTAAACACTGAGGAAAAGGGAACTGCAAATATATATTAGAAAAAGCAAGTTAATTAATGTGAATATATTATTTATATGATTTAGAATGTGACACACCGTTGGCACATCCACTGGCACATGCGCTATTTTTAAACACTGAAGAACAGGGAACTGCAAATATATATTAAAAAGCAAGTTGATTTATGTGAATATATTATTTATACATGTATTACCGGTTTAACAAATGCAGTAGAAGTTATATGGACATATACTAGTCTATACTCATCATACCAGTGACACCACACGTACTTGAAGTCTTAGTCTAAAAGTGACTAGCAAAATGTAACTGGGTAAATCCTTTGTTGTAATATAAGGAAAATACAGGGAATAGGAAATTGAAGACTTTCTCATTGTTTGTTAAACACTTATCAGTGGGAGTGGTTGTCAAACTTATTTCTAGTATGGAAGTCAGAATAATTCTTTGTTTACAATTCGCTAGGTTTATGGCGAATTATTTCACAATTTTCTCTAATTTTAGGTACCAAGCATCTTGCATGCTCTAAAACCAATATTTAAATGTTATAGAATTCATATTTGCTCTTTTCTAAAACAGTAAATAATTTTTCGTTTCTAAGGCATAATATGCTTTTAGAACTAGTAAATTGGTAAATGATATCAACACACTAAGAACTGTATCCTGACATGACCAAGCCTTTCTCAATTACTTGTTACGATGATTTGTAATACCGAGAAGTTAAAATGGTTGTAAAAGCAACAACAACAACAAAATTGTTTTTATTTGAATATGCATGTATTAGGAAAACGTGTAAAATAAACTGTAGATGTATTTATTTTATTGATATACCTATTTTAAGTCTTAATATCAATGGTGCAATGTTGAGAGGAAGTTTTGAAAACAAAATACCAAAAACCAAAGCCGACAACATCCCTATAACAGCAGGCCAAAGGGTCTTTGTGCCTTGAAATATCGTAGCCATGTCACGTGAATAGTCATTAAATAATAAATCTAGGAATGTCAATGATGTGTATAGCCATATTGATTTTAACTGTTTATACAAATGAAAAATAATATAATTTTAACTTTTTAAGTTATTTCTTTACATAACTATGATGTGTTTTTTTTTTCAAAAATGTGTAAAACTATTTGAATTAACAACATTTTTAAAAAGTATGTATAATGTAAGCTAGAAGTATTTCCTTGTTGCTAAGATGAGAATGTCCAAAAATATCCATTTCTGGTAAGTATCATCATACTTGACGTTGATAAGTCAATGTCAATTAAGTGTAGATTTGATACTTGTTTTCGTGGTTTTATGTTGTTGTTTTTTTTTTGTTCAAGGCAGATGATATTCATCACGGTCAGGTTGTTATAAAGATTTTAAAACAACGATTTTATTTTTAATTAAGGAAGATGAATGTAAACTTTGTAAAGTTCATCATTAAGATAAAATAATATTATCGAAATTGTATTGTTTCTGAAAAAGTGCTGAAAATATAACTATTATGTTGAAATTTCACAGAATTTGGTCATTTGAAAAAAAAATATCAAGACTACGCGCAAAATGATATTAACTTTTGTTTTCCAAAAGATGAATACATAAAGACAAACTTAAAAATAAATGCATGACTGAATAAAATGTTATGGACATATGTTACACACTATATGATTTGAAATTTGGATAGCAGTATCGAAAAAGTAAAGGCTGAAAACGATGAGAAAATATGATCATCTGATAACAAAATAAAAAAAAAACATAAGATTTTTTACATTGAGTAGGTCAAAAGGGATTAAGTAGCTTCTAGCTTGTAGTTTAATGCAAGAAAAAGGCCTATCATGTGACAATAGCAAAAAGTATGTGGCCTACTATTTATAGGGAGTGTCGACCGGCCTAAAATTTAGTGAGAGCTGCCGACTTCGAGGGCTTTCTTATTGCCCTCGTCGACAAACTCTGAGGAGGAGGAAACAGCCAGTGAGCTTCTTGCCCACGTTGACATGCGGTTAATGCTGGCTCTTTGAGACGACATTCGGCTCCTATTTCTTTCAGCGTCTGTCTGTCTATGTCTGATAGTGAGTCGAACTCTTTCCTGAAACTGGTGTTCGGCCTCGTCTTTTCGTTGCTTGCATTCAGTTCTAAAATATATCGAAGAAAAAAGGTGTTAATTGAATATTTACCATTGTCGTTGAGTTATGTAGATTATATATGCGGGGTGTAATGAAAATGATATAGTATCTGGTGTGATGTAAATGATATAGCATCTGTTGTGATGTAAATGATACAGTATCTGGTGTGGTGTTAATGATATAGTATCTTGTGTGATGTTAATGATATAGTATCCGGTGTGAATTAAATTATATAGTCTCTGGTGTGTTGTAAATGATATACTCTATGTTGTGATGTAAATGATATAGTATCTGGTGTGTTGTAAATAATATAGTATCTGTTGTGATGTAAATGATACAGTATCTGGTGTGGTGTTAATGATATAGTATCTTGTGTGATGTAAATGATATAGTATCTGGTGTGTTGTAAATAATATAGTATCTGTTGTGATGTAAATGATACAGTATCTGGTGTGGTGTTAATGATATAGTATCTTGTGTGATGTAACTGATATAGTATCTGGTGTGTTGTAAATAATATAGTATCTGTTGTGATGTAAATGATACAGTATCTGGTGTGGTGTTAATGATATAGTATCTTGTGTGATGTAAATGATATAGTATCGGGTTTGATGTAAATGATATAGTATCTGTTGTGATGTAAATGATATAGTATCTGGTTTGATGTAAATGATATAGTATCTGGTTTGATGTAAATGATATAGTATCGGGTGTGGTGTAAATGATATAGTATCTGTTAATTCTATGCATATTTCTGTTGTGTAAATAATACAATTATTTTTGTAAATGACATTTATTATATCGAAAGTGTACCATAATTAAGATATGTTAATTCTTGTCTGAACATCAGGTGTACGAAAACACACATTCTTTTAAATAAGGTAATTTATGTTATTAAATGTACATGTACATGTAATCAAATGGTTGTTAGAGGATATAAATGAACTTTTTCTCTGGTGCTCTCTTGCCAGTACTTTCTTTTTACATAGCTCCTCATTTCTTTTGGCATCATGTCGAGCCTCACAAGCTAGGCGTATCTGTTAAAATGTAACGAACATTAAGGGCAAACTCAAACTTTCCATTTGAAAATTCGCAACTTTGTATATATTGTATATATCTATGGTAAAAGTATAAAAAGAAAATATTTAATTTCGGAGTTTCGAATCTTATACCATTGGCTATTTCTTACGTTCCATATAGTGCCGTTGTTTGTCATGTAAATTTATAGATACACAACTACATCGTATATTCGTCAATACTCGGCATATTTCGGGTTTTTTTGCCCGTTACTTGTATAGCGTGAATGGGATTTAATTCTTTCGTAGCGATGTCTGCCGGATATACACATTAGATTAGATATAACGTTTAATATATAATCTTTTAGTTGAGGTCGAAGGGCAAATTTCAAATGTAATTAACCCTTACCATTCTAATGGACAAAACAACATTTTATATACTGACTAAATAGCGAATTTTGCAGTTACAAACAAATATCTAATTAATGCATGTATATAATTTTCAATTAAACGTTAGAAATATTTCCTGTCGGAAGCATAGAAAGTATCCCAGCAGGCACATGACGTTGTTTCAACGTTGAAACAACGTTGAAATATGGTCGTGACGTTGTTCAACCAATATTCAACTATGGACGACCATACGGATATATAGCCAATGTATATACAACGTTGATTCAACGTTGTTTATGGTCGAAGTTTTACATTTAGTTTAATCATTATATAAACTTTTATACCACTAATTTTGTGTTATTATTCCTTTATTGAATTAGTCTGTAAGTGATTTTTGTCAGGAAAATTTGCGTTACAATCTTTTTCCGTATATTCAAAATTAGCGCTAAAAGAAATAAATTTGGAAATAATTTTTTCTCTTTCTATTAACGCTTTAAATATTAGTTAATATGTTTTGTTGTTTGTTGTTTTATCTTTTACTTTTTTATGAATAAAATTAATTAATAAATTGATATTAGTCAAAACCCCGTTTATAAAATAACGCTGGTCAGGGGAAGTAATTGTTGCGTCTATGATTTTGTTTATTGTTTATGATTACCGTTCGTGCAAATGGTGGCGCTGTATGGAAAATTTGAAAACAACACGATTGGCAATTTATTTGGATTTCGGAGGTATTACCGTAATGTTTTACTTTAGTTTACTGATTATTTTCTTAAATATTATTATTTATTCTTAAAATTCTACTTTAATTTACTTCATGAAATAAATGAGAGATGAAAACACATGATTAAGTTGATTTCACACGTTTTCGCGACCTAATTGAAAGATTAATCTTGGGATCCGTAGGCCTTGTAAGCATGAAGTTATTGATGTCCTTGGCAATTTATGATTTTACAAATCTTGTCTTTCTTTAATTTATTTTTCATATTATTAAACAATTGTCTGTACCATATCCTAATTAGAATTTAATCAATTATAAAATTGAAACCTTTAAAGTAGTTCGGCCCACGTAATTTACGTCCCAAGACGATTCGTCAATATATATTATATAACTATGTTTATATTTTAGTGATAGTATAATACAGTGTTTATTAGTTTGAAAAAAATACATTATTATTAAGTTAAATAACAAATTTAAGTGTTAAACTTTAAAGTTTATAGTCTTAAATTTATGGGGAATAATAAATCTATTTCTATTTTATTATATATTATTTTATATTCTAGATCCTGGTCCTGGTTGAAATTTAGAGTATTGCAGCTGTAGCCTGTATACCATACATTCAACATGAAAAGGACTGTCAGGTTTGTTAAACTGAGATTTATTCTTATTAATTTATGTATTTGAATTTCTTTACAATACAAACTTAAGCATAAATTTTTCAACTACTGGATATTTATCTTGTCTTAAATATATTATTTTCGGAATATTCGTGTAACATTATTTATATAAAATTTACATGTTTGTTGATTTCAGGATGCAGCATAAAATGGTCTTAGCTAGAGCCTAGAATGTTAATTTCTTGGGAATGTGCTGCAAGGAACTGACGGGGAGCAGTTTTTTTCTTACCAATCATAGGTGAGACTTTTAAGTAGCTTCTTTTTAAAAAGATTTTGTTGTCTTATATACAGTATTTGCTGTCAATATGAAACTTAGCTATGTTTCAATTTCTATGCTGTTTTATGATGAAAATCTTAGGGAAAATCATTTTAAATTGAGTAATTATATGTATAATTTGAGATTGACCAAGTCACTTTTAACTACAAACTTCTTATTTTTATTTGCAGTAGCAGTAAGAGACAGCCAAAGAAGTACTCAAACACTTGACATACCCAGAAAGATTGGAACAGATTGTAGTTAAATTGTTAAAACTATTAAAGTGAATTTAAGTTGCACTTGAACTGTATTTTTGAAATAAATATCTGAAGTATTTAATATTGTCTTGATATTTTGTTAAACTTGGTTACTTTGCTTTATATCCAAAAATTAAAGTATGATGGGTTTTCAACGTTGAAATGACATTGAAACTTCAACGTTGTGCCAACGTTGAAGCTGCAACGTTGTATCAACGTTGAATCTGCAACGTTGAATCAACGTTGAAAATTCAACGTTGTTTCAACTTTCAAATCCGAATATAAATCCAACCTTATTTCAACGTTGAAATCTGACCATAATTCAACGTTGAAACAACGTTGATGTGCCTGCTGGGATGTTGCATTCAAAATGGGTTTATACTTACAGGTCCGTCAGCTGTCTTAATTGGCGGCAATATTGGCTTTATTACAATGGGTTTACAATCGACCTCAATGACAAAAGATTCCCTGCCACGTGACTTTCTATGCTCATATTGAACTAAAATAGAAATAGTATTGCCAATGTATCTTATTAAATACTTTCAAAATAAATTCATATTTGTCTTCTCAGTACACAGTCGAATATTTTGTGTTTCTTCTCTTTAAATAAAAGTATGACGATAATAAACTTACAAAGCAGGAAACGTAATACATATTTTTTCTGTCACAAAAAGCGAGTGAGACTAAGTGTAATTCTTACCTAGCGTTGGTGTGGGAACGCGTTGTGCTATAGCCTTCCTTTTCTTTTCACGGCGTTTCTCCTTCCTTTTGGCAATCCAAGTGGAAATAAAACCAAAAAAACTTGGAAGCTTCATCTTCTTCTTCTTCTTGTCATTTTCTTGGTCAGGTTCTTTAGAAGTTGTTGCAATGTTTTCATTTTCTTCTTTTACCACGTGATCTTTTTCATCAATGTTTTCATTTTCCTTCAAATGAAGAGGAATCCCGAGATAGATAGTATTACAAATGCGGTGTCGCTAACATTAATTGTATTCAAAGGTTTTCAAACATGTACAATTCCAATTCAACAAAAATAATGTTCCTTGATGTTATCAATCGTTCACATGAAAAGAATGAAATAAATCTGGACTATGTAAGTATCAATTATAATGGGCAAAAAAAGCTTTTCGGCAGTAAACTAATGCAAGAACATGAACCGTCGTCTGGTACAATAACAAAGAACAAATAAGATACACTAAATTTGCTCTGTATTTTAACAAACATATTGTTAAAATGATAAAGGTTTGCGGATGGCACTTGGACTTACAACCCTGGCTTATAAAAATATAAATCGCTAAAACCCCTTTATAGGCCATTAATTTTGTTTTGGGAAAACCAGAATTATTAAATAGTTTCCATGAAGTACAAAAACATGCAGGTGTCATGTCCATATGATATATTATCTATCTTTCACATTAAATGTTTGTTTGCATATAATAAAAAGAAAATTTGTTTAGTTAAATGTAAGATCGAAATATATTTCACCCCAAGAACACCAAAAGTTTATATTTCACGAGTGGCGCAGTGTAAGATCAAAATATATTTCACCCCGAGAACACCAAAAGTTCATATTTCACTCGTGGCTGCGCCACTCATGAATTATACCTTTTGGTGCTCACTCGGTAAAATATATTCCGATCTTACACTAAACTAAACAAATATACTTTATTTATTTAAACGGCAATTAGACATATCTATAAATGAGAACGGTTTTTTAAAACCACTTAGATCCCGTTTACTGATTAAAGTTTACTTGTTAAAATCGCATTTCATATGTTGTTCATCCGTTTGTTCATTCAGTCGTTTCATTAACAAAGTCATAGTATCGCATACAGTCATTACAAAAAATACATGAAGAAAAACCTAATTGAATCCTTACAAACGCATAACAAATATGTGCACGAACATAGTATCTGGACGAAGACTAGGATCAATATTATTCAATGTGTGCGCACGTGCCTAGCAGACGACATTTGTGTTTCCGCCTTCTACCATGCAGGCAATGTTTCTTGTACAGGACACAGAGTGGTATATCACGATGGAAATTCGTTTGCAGGGACAATGTTTTACGTGCTGCCACACTAAAGTTATATATATTTCCCATCCTTTGTCAACACTATATCAGCATTATTACGTGATAAATATCTTTTCGTATATAGAGATTTGTTGATATTATACCCTTACATAAAAGCTGCATTTTATTATTTTCATAAGAAAAAAAGAAATAGCTACATTTCGTTTATTTAATGTGTTTCAAAACGATCCCCGTTCTTATTTTGGTGTCCAGACAACCAAAATGAGTTTTATAAACCTAGAGAAAGGCCGCCTTTGGGCCATCCGTACATCAATAGAAAATCAACAAGCATTTTTGAGTAGCAGTCCGAATTTGACGGTATATTTCCGCATTATATTTATATTTTCATACAAATTCAATCTTTTTATGGGATGATTACTTTTTTTGGTGAACGACAGGGCTTATGTACCGTGAAACTAAATTTGCACAAGTAAAAATCCCATATTTGCTGGGTTTTTTTATTATTTGACTTAGCACATATACACCAGCTAACTATAGTATTCATTAACATATTGAATAAAATTCGTATACGAACTGTAGTGTTACATTGTGGTTTTTCTTTTAAGATAACAATTTATGAACAATATTTGATAAGATTTACAACAATACGGTTAAAAAGGTTAATGAAACTGTAGAATGCTTAGTTTTTAGGTCGATGGAAAAATATTTTTACATATCTATAAAATGCAGCTTTAAATATAATAACATTACAAAATATTGTGGAACATAAACATTTATGTATGATTGTACATGTATAAACATATATACACATTTAGTTAATTCATGTAAAAAGTCTGCATTGTATCTGAATAAACCATATTGAAGTTTAGATAAATTAACGGAATAAGGTTTATGTCCGGTAAACGTATAATATTAATCCGAGTGTCAATATACATGTATATATAAAAGATTCAATAAATTGGAAATCGAAATTATTTATCATGTATGTACATGCATTACATAAATAAATGCTTTAGATTGGTCTCCTTTTATAGCATACCAATATAAAACATATTGAAAGTAGTACAATGGAGTACGTAAAGTGACCCTTAGCGCATTAATACTACAAAAGAACGAACCGAATTTATAGTTCTGTATTTATGCTCGTACTTATGAGAAAACCACTGGCTAAAAAGATCGTCTGTCAAATGCAAGTGTCAACGGTTCGTATATTCTTGATTTGATAGACAACGCTACAAAAGTGATATACAAACGACATTGCTGAAGGATTCTTTTTTATAAAGGTATGCTAGTTTCAGTCTGTTCTCTTTTTTAATTGATTAGTGACTACATTACCTAATTATTTTATAGAATAATTTGATTAGTGTTTAGTAATTATTAGAGTAAGATTTTACACAACATCTAATTTCTTTTTCATACATTTTAACATCATTTTGTCTTCGTACAATTTTTTCATCGTATCGCTCACTTGATTATTTGGTATGCATTACATATTGTACAGATAGGACAAAGAATAAAACAAGTTGTTCTTTTTTTAATTTTACGATATTCTTGAACGTGTTCCTAAATTTTATAATCTTTAATTTATTTATACTTTTTATAATGTCACTGTACTAAAAGTCAAAATATAACAGGAAACTTTATAACCTAATTTTAGATGTTTGTCATCACTTTAGCAATCTGCCATCACTGGCGCCGGTAAGAGGGTGTGAAACATTTGGCCCTAATAGTTTCATTAGTGAATATCGCGTTTGTGTAGGAATACGTAAGTATTGCACGTTGAGTGTGAGATAAGGCCTTTCGAGATAAGACATTCCAGGACCGCTATATTTAGACACATTTACGGAATTTTCTATCCGGTTAGTGAGAAATTAGGTTCTTAGACTGAACAAGTTTGCACATCTAATTTGACACCCCGGACAATCGAAGGGTTTGAAGTTATCACATGCCGGATTATCGGACAGCATCAAATATAAAGTCTATTGGCTATTTGTGGCCGAATTGCTTTTTGTTGATTTAACTGTTAAATAACCCTAACCTACCTTTATATACATAATAAATATATCGTTTACAGTATCTAAAGTCTATTCATTTCAGTTCCAGTATTTACTGATTAAGAAGACACTGTTCGCCTGCTTCAAACCCAACGAAGACATATTAAAATGACGAAAAAGTTCATCGTAGTAGATTATGACGGCGGTAAATCTGAAGAGCCAAAACTTGCCTTTGAATCTGTTGGTTTAGACAGTGCTTTAGAAAAATTCGAGAAACTGAAAACCGCAAACCAGACCAGAAGCGTCGTCCTTTTCAATACACTGTCAGGAGAAGTAAAGAAAATCGCCATTCTTGGTGAACCTATTTATCTCGCAAAAGCTTTAACATTTGCCAGGACATTTGTTCAAAATAAATCTTTATTAACAAAACTTAATGAAGGAGCGGCTAAAGCAGCCGCTGGTGCTGTTATTGGTGAAATAGCTAAGGCTATTGCTGGAGGACCTATCCCAGGTGTGGGTGGCGTTGTTCTTGGACATTTCATTGCTCCTTATTACGCCTTCAAAGGTGACAATGTCGCGGTGGCTAAAGCAGCATCGGGGATGTATGGAGGCCTATCAGGAGCTGTTATTGGATTCGTGGTGGGCGGTCCTATCGGAGCAGTTGTTGGAGGAGCAATTGGCGGTATCGGCATGGCTGAAGGTGCCGGCGCTATTGTTAAAGTTTCAACAAAACATCCAAAGTGCGAGACTTGCTCGGGGACAGGTTTGGTAGATTACTATGAAGTTTGCAAAAAATGTAAGGGATATGGATATAGAAAATAAATGACGTATAAGTAAAAACAATTTGTATTAAACAAAAGTTAAAATTGCTAATATTATTTTGTTCAAATTTTAGACATGCGGTATTGTTTTCTCTGTAAAATCAAGATAGAATGTATTAAATAATTTGATGTCATTTATTTTATTATATCTAACATTGTTTGGTTTTTTCTCTTCTACAATTTTGAAATTCTGACTTAATCACTTTTAATAGATCACATATGCATTACACGCATAGCATATATCCTATTATTTTCTATGGGTATAACCCTGATAACATTTACAAATGGCGTGTATCGCTCCTGATGAAGATATGGTACACGTTAACATGTCAGTATGTGAGAAGTTAGCAGTTAACAGTGAGCTAAGCAAAAAGGCATTACGATTTATATAGGGAAATCAATGATCTGCTGTTATGCTCAGCTGGGTAAGCAATCTAGCAGAGCATTCCAAAATAAAGTGTAGAAATGCTTTGCTGGTATGCTCAGCTGGGTAAGCAATCTAGCAGGCCATTACTAAATATAGTGTAAAAATGCTCTGCTGGTATGCTCAGCTGGCTAGGCAATCTAGCGGGGCGTTCCAAAATATAGCGTAAAAATGCTCTGCTGGTATGCTCAGCTTGCTAGGCAATCTAGCAGGGCATTCCTAAATATAGTGTAAAAAAACTCTGCTGTTATACTCAGCTGGCTAAGCAATCTAGCGGGGCATTCCAAAATAGGGTGTAAAAAGCTCTGCTGTTATGCTCAGCTGGCTAAGCAATCTAGCGGGGTATTCCAAAATATAGTGTAAAAATGCTCTGCTGTTATGCTCAGCTGGCTAAGCAATCTAGCGGGGCATTCCAAAATATAGTGTAAAAATGCTCTGCTGTTATGCTCAGCTGGCTAAGCAATCTAGCGGGGCATTCCAAAATATAGTGTAAAAATGCTCTGCTGTTATGCTCAGCAGGCTAAGCAATCTATCGGGACATTTCAAAATATAGTGTAAAAATGCTCTGCTGTTATGTTCAGCTTGGTAAGCAATCTAGCGGGGCATTCCAAAATATAGTGTAAACATGATCTGCTCGTATGCTCAGCTGGCTAGGCAATCTAGCAGGGCATTCCTAAATATAGTGTAAAAATGCTTAGCTGTTATGCTCAGCTGGCTAAGCAATCTAACGGGACATTCCAAAATATAGTGTAAAAATGCTCTGCTGAGTTGCTTAGCTGGCTAGGCAATCTAGAAGGGCATTCCTAAATATAGTGTTTAAAATGCTCAGCTGGCTAGGAAATCCAGCAGAGCATTCCTAAATATAGTGAAAAAATGCTCTGCTGGCAAGCTCAGCTGGCTAAGCAATCTAGCAGAGCGTTCCAAAATATAGTGCGAAAAATGCTCTGCTGGTATGCTCAGCTAGCTAAGCAATCTAGCAGGGCATTCCTAAATATAGTGTTAAAAATGCTCAGCTGGCTAGGCAATCCAGCAAGGCATTCTGAAAATTAGTGTAAAAATGTTCTGCTGGAATGCTGAGCTGTCTAGGCAAACTAGCAGGGCATTCTTAAATAAAGTATAAATTTCGTTGGTCTGCAACAGATTATTTGGCTGTCGTAGACTTTCTGAAATATTTAGTGCCAATGCAGATAATGACATTTTTGACTTCTACGGGACCCTCAAGTGTCTATTTCTTTGGTCTCCGACTGATTCTGGGACGATCGCAGACTTTCAGGAATTTTTGGTGTTAATGCAAATAATGACATTTGTGAATTTTAGGACCATCCAGAGTCCATTTCGTTGGTCTGCGAATGTTTTCTGGAACACTCGCAGACTTTCAGAAATGTTCGATGCCAATGGAGATAATGACATTTTTACTTCAAAGGACCCTCCTGAGTCTATTTCGTTGGTCTGCGACTGATTCTGAGTCCACTCGCAGACTTTCAGGAATTTTTTGGTGTCAATGCAGAAAATGATATTTCTGACTTACTGGGACCTTTCTGAATCCATTTTTTTGGTCTGCGACTGATTCTGAGGCACTCACAGACTTTCAGGAATTTTTGATGTCAAGGCAGATAATGACATTTTTTACTTCTAGGGACCATCCAGGGTCCATTTTTTTGGTCTGCGACTTAATCTTGGACAGTCCCAGACTTTCAGGAATTGTTGGTGCCAATAGAGATAATTACAATTAATGACATTTTTGACCATCCAGAGTCTTTTTCGTTGGTCTGCGACTGATTATAGGGCACTTGCAGACTTTCAGGAATATTTGGTGCTAATGCAGATAATGACATTTTAGGGTAAAAATGCTCTGCTTATGACTAAGGGGTCCTTAAAAGTAAAAAAGTCATGATCTGCAATGGCACTAAACATCCTGAAAGTCTGCGAGTCTCAAGGAATCAGTCGCAGACCCAAGAAATGTACTCTGGCGGTTCCCTAAAAGTCAGAACTGTCATTATCTCCATTAACATCAAAATTCCTGAAACTCTGCAAGTGTCCCAAAATCAGTCGCAGACCAGCGAAATGAACTCTGGGGGTCGCTAGAAGTCAAAAATGTCATTATCTCCATTGGCACCAGAGATTCCTGAAAGTCTGCGAATGTCCCAGATTCAGTCGCAGACCATAAAAATGGACTCTGGCGGGTCCCTAGAAGTAAAAATTGCCATCATCTCTATTGGCACCAAACTTTCCTGAAAGTCTGCGAGTGTCCAACAATACGCTGCAGGCCAATGAAATGTACTCTTAAAGGTCCCTAGAAGTCAAAAATATGAATATTTCCATTGGCACCAACCATTCCTGAAAGTCTGCGAGTGTCCAAGAATCAGTCGCAGACGACCAAAATGGACTCTTGAGGGTCCTTAGAAGTCTTAATTGTCAATATCAGCATTGGCACCACAATTCCTGAAAGTCTGCGAGTGTCCTTCAAAAAGTCGCAGGACAATGAAATAGTCTCTTAAAGGTCCTTAGAAGTCAAAAATATCATTATTTCTATTTTGCACCAAAAATTCCTGAAAGTCTGCGAGTGCCTCAGAATTGCCTAGAAGTCGAAAATGTCAATAAAACTTTGGCAACAATAAATCCTGGAACTCAGAATCAGTCTGCCAACTGAGCATTCCACCAGAGCATTTTTTAACTATATTTCGGAATGCCTTGCTAGATTGCCTAGCCAGCTTAGCATTCCACCAGAGCATTTTTACACCATATTTTAGTAATGCCCTGCTAGATTGCCTAGCCAGCTGAGCATTCCACCAGAGCATTTTTTCACTATATTAAGGAATGCTCTGCTATAGTGCCTAGCCAGCTTAGCATTTCAGCAGAGCATTTTTACACTATATTTCTTAATGCGCTGCTAGATTGCCTAGCAGCTTAGCATTCAACCAGAGCATTTTTACACTATATTTAGTAATGCCCTGCTAGATTGCCTAGCCAGCTTAGCATTCCAGAATAGCATTTGTACACTATATTTAGTAATGTCCTGCTCGATTGCCTAGCCAGCTTAGCATTCCAGCAGAGCATTTTTACACTATATTTAGTAATGCCCTGCTAGATTTGCCTAGCAGCTTAGCATTCCACCAGAGCATTTTTACACTATATTAGTAATGCCCTGCTAGATTGCCTAGCCAGCTTAGCATTCAAGCAGAGCATTTTTACACTATATTTAGTAATGGCCTGCTAGATTGCCTAGCCAGCTTAGCATTCCAGAAAAAGCATTTGTTCAATATATTTAGTAATGCCCTGCTAGATTGCCTAGCCAGCTTAGCATTCCAGCAGAGCATTTTTACACTGTATTTAGTTTAATGCACGGCTAGATTGCCTACCCAGCTTAGCATTCCAGAATAGCAAATTGTACACTATATTTAGTAATGTCCTGCTAGATTGCCTAGCCAGCTTAGCATTCCAGCAGAGCATTTTTTACACTATATTTAGTAATGCCCTGCTAGATTGCCTAGCCAGCTTAGCTAGCCAGATTAGCATTCCACCAGAGCATTTTTACACCATATTTAGTAATGTCCTGCTAGATTGCCTAGCCAGCTGAGCATTCCACCAGAGAATTTTTTCACTTTATTAAGGAATGCTCTGCTATAGTGCCTACCCAGCTTAGCATTTCAGCAGAGCATTTTTACACTATATTTTCTTAATGCTCTGCTAGATTGCCTAGCAGCTTAGCATTCAACCAGAGCATTTTTACACTATATTAAGGAATGCCCTGCTAGATTGCCTAGCCAGCTTAGCATTCCAGCAGAGCATTTTTACACTATATTTAGTAATGCCCTGCTAGATTGCCTAGCCAGCTTAGCATTCCAGAATAGCATTTGTACACTATATTTAGTAATGTCCTTGCTCGACTGCCTAGCCAGCTTAGCATTCCAGCAGAGCATTTTTACACTATATTTAGTAATGCCCTGCTAGATTGCCTAGCAGCTTAGCATTCCACCAGAGCATTTTTACACTATATTTAGTAATGCCCTGCTAAGATTGCCTAGCCAGCTTAGCATTCAAGCAGAGCATTTTTTTACACTATATTTAGTAATGGCCTGCTAGATTGCCTAGCCAGCTTAGCATTCCAGAAAAGCATTTGTTCAATATATTTAGTAATGCCCTGCTAGATTGCCTAGCCAGCTTAGCATTCCAGCAGAGCATTTTTACACTGTATTTAGTAATGTACGGCTAGATTGCCTACCCAGCTTAGCATTCCAGAATAGCATTTGTACACTATATTTAGTAATGTCCTGCTAGATTGCCTAGCCAGCTTAGCATTCCAGCAGAGCATTTTTTACACTATATTTAGTAATGCCCTGCTAGATTGCCTAGCCAGCTTAGCTAGCCAGCTGAGCATTCCAGCAGAGCATTTTAACACTATATTTAGTAATGCACGGCTAGATTGCCTAGCCAGCTGAGCGTTCCAGCAGAGCATTTTTTTCACTAAAGCTAGGAATGCTCTGCTAGATTGCCAAGACAGCTGAGTATTGCAGCAGAGCATTTTTACACTATATTTAGGAATGCCCTGCTAGATGCCCAAAACAGCTGAGCATTACAGCAGATCATTACCTTCCCTATATAAATTGAAATGCCTTTTTGCTTAGCTCACTGTTCACTGCTAACTTCTCACATACAACATGTCATGGAAGACAATTAGTTTAGAAAGCGTCAGTATTTCAGTCCAAACCCAACCTCCATACCTCCAGAACAACTTAAATTCTCGCCTGTAGTGTATGTTGCATCGGTAGCCAGAAATAAACACGCCTTGCCAATTTCACGGGCATCCCCTAGGCGCCGTAGTAACTATAACGATAAAAAGGAAAAGTGTTTGTTAAAAATTATTGAAATAATAGTATATCAATATCGTTTACAAACAATATT